TTTAATAATAATAATCCTCGCATTCCATACAGCGCCTTATCACGTCTTCGAGACGTCTCAAAGCCCTTCACAGAATATACCGTCAAATAAATTGACTGTAGATTTGCAGGCGAAAACAGCCGTGGATCGAAGTGACCGAATTATTATCATTTCAAACTGAAAACAGGAAGCAAAGGGGAATAGTGGAGATCTGGAACTCTCTCCCTCCCCCAAAAGGCCACGGGCGCTACATCAAGTTAAAGTTTCAAGACTGAGTTGGATATCTGTGGTACGTAGCTCAATATGAAGTGGCTCAACTCTGCTCGTCTTCTCGTTCCCCTGTGATAGGAGGAAGTGTTTTTTTTATATCAAACTTCCCTTATTGTTTTTCCTTGAGCGCTCAACCCACCACCACCACCCCCCACCCCCCCACCCCCAACGAGACGAGGCAAGTCTAGCAGTGTAGTAAACCCCTGATAATTTGTCTCTCTGAGAGAAGGATCGAGAGGGAAGAGAGGGAGAGAGAAAGGGGGAGGGGAGAGAGAGAGAGAGAGAGAGAAAGAAAGAGAGAGAGAGATAGGGGCTCAGTGATAAGTTATCAGGAGCTGCGGGTCAGGCGTTCATATAAATACATCAATAAACACGCCCGACATTTTGATAACATGATGTGGTTGTGACAAATTAAGCCAGGGGTGAGTTATCAGGAATTTAAAAATAGTAATAATAATAATCCTTGCATCTGGTGTGGCGCCTTATCACGTCGTCGAGACATCTCGAAGCTTCACAGGATAAACTGTGAAGTGCAGTGACCGTGTATTTCGGGGGCGAAACTCCAGTTTACTGCAGTCCTTGAAAAGAAAGGCACGGAATAAAAAATAGACGGCTGCAAAATTAAGACTGTAAATTTTGAATTGCTGCGCAGACCCTAATAGAATTTCTACACGCATGTGTGCTAAAGGGGGGGGGGGGGGGGGGGCGGTCACTGGGGAGCTCAAGACACAGTATCAGGAGAATTTTGCCCCTGGGCTGTTGCTATCTCAAGACTGTCTCTATCTGCGACTCTCGGATAATTGGACACTGGTGAATGAGCCAGCCGGACAAGAAGGTTCCTCAGGCATGGCTCAGTCCTTTAGAAGAGACAAGAGATAGGGGAATCTTAGCCCAAGGCTAACCGTTCAGAAGTAACATTCTTTTCTTTATCTGCTCCGCAACGTTCCCACACTGCACCCTTGTTCTGCTCGAGATGTCGCAGGAGTAATGTTAAGCATGGAATTCAGAGGACCTTACATGGCCTAACACTGACCAGGGCTTGTCTGCTAGGAATGGAGGACGTGAGAGGAGGTGGGTGCCTATGGACACCTCCCGTTTCTCCTCAGCTCAGCGCTAAGCTCTGCCACTTTTCAGTGCTCCGAGACGCTACTCTGGGTGAAGTGAAGGGCGCTGTGTTAGTGCCAGTGGTTGTTATTTTAATACTCCTATTACCTGTGGAGGCCTGTAGCGCAGTGTTTAGAGCGCTCGCCTCGAAGCAAGAGGACCCGAGTTCAATTCCCGGTCAGGGCGGAACCTTAGGCAAGTTTGCTTATTCCACACGTCACTGTTTACCCAGCAGTAAGTAGGAACCCGGATGTTAGTCAATTGCCGGATCGCTTTCCGGGCTGTAATAATCCCTTCAAAGGAAACAAATAATACTGATTTGGTCACTCAATCCACGACTGTTTGTGGTGGACGCTGCTGTGCGCAATTGACCGCCACGTTTCGCCCACAAAATATACAGTCGATTCATTTTACAGTCTATTCTGTGAAGCACTTTGAGACGTCTCGAAGACGTGATAAGGCTCTGTATCAAATGCAAGGATTATTATTTTATTTTTATCACTTAATAACTTCTGTCTTTGAGGCCTCCATAGTCTGCAAATGGAATCGGAGTCATGTCTCTTCTGTAGAAACACAAGTCAGCGTTAACAGGGTTAACAGACCTCCGCAGTGTTCACGGATGAATGGACAGACAACCCTTTGTGGGTTCATGTCGGCTATAGGTTGGGTCCCAGCTTGAGAAATGAGCAACTCTTTCCGATAATGAGCCAAAGTCTGGCAGTAGAATCTGACCCTGGGGGCAGTCAGCATAGTGAGCCGAGGAGGTCAAAGACCGGCCAGCTATCAGCTTCAACCGTCTTCCCCACTTGTGTTTTTCTTGGAAAAGCAAGGATACAAGGCCGAAAAGAATCCTACTAGGTCTAGACTTGAGCACTGGACACTTTGCTGTTGAGTATTGCTGTATGTAATAAGAGTAATACTAATAATAATGCTTGCATTTTGATATTATCACTTCTTCGAGACGGCTCAAAGCGCTTCACAGAATAGACTGCAAAGTGAAGTGACTGTGGGCGAAACGCGACAGCCAATTGCACGCGGCAGTGTCCCACAAAACAGTCATGGACTGAGTGGCCGCATCTTTTTTTCATCAAAAAATTTTTTTGTATTATTTTATCGATGTACGTGAATGTGTGACAAGAGAGTATGAGTCCGTGTGTAAGTGTACGGTGGGTGTGGACGTCTGTGTAGTTCCTGTGGTGAATTCAGTCTCGCCTTTCAAGTCGTTTCTCTGTGGTACTTGAAGAGAATCTATTCAAAATTAAGAGGCTGCGTTTTTAAGTAGTCGCCAAACTTTGGACATGGGTCGAAATTCCACCTAAATAACAACAACAACAATCCTCGCGTTTGATCTGTGTGTGTGTTTGAGATGTCTCTGTGCGCTTCAAGAGATTTTACTGTCAGGGTAAGCGACCGGTTGGATGTTTTGTGGGCAAATGTGGCAGCCAGTGTGTACACAGTCACGTCCCACAAACAGCTGTGGAGCGAGAGACCGATTTGAACGGTAGTTAAATGCGGAACCGGGTGGAATATTCCTCTGCTGATAGATACATAAGTCTGGCTTCTTTGCTATGCATTGCACAGCTGATTGCAGTAAATCCGCTTCCATCCGAGTGTAGTGCTCCACTCTTATTGACCCATGGAATTGACGATTAACACCGTGGCTATCTTATAAAATGGTGGAATAGGCTCGAATTGCCACACGAAGCAAGAAAAAANTACTCTGCGAACGTCCCGAGAACGGAAAGTTTTTAAACTCGAGTTTGTTTGGACACGTGTATGTGCGTGAGAAAGAGAGAGAGAGAGGGAGCTGGTGGATGTTAGTCATGTGTATCTGGTATGTCTGTGATGTGTGTTTGTGGCTCACGTATGTGGTGTAGCGTCAGAGAGGCAGAAAGAGAGAGAGAGAGCTGTTAGTTTCTTTTAGATGTCGGTTTAAAACTCACCCCCACCACCCCCCCCCTCGAGTCAGAAGAACAAATTGCGTGTACGTCGCAACTTTCGCATCGGGAGGACGTCCCAAGGCGCTGGACAGTGAAGGACAGAGCTGGGGGTTGGAATCAAGAGGGGATGGACGGCAAGAGGGTCGGGCAGGGCAGGGGGGGGGGCGGGTGGGGAGCAAGGATGACCGAAGGCACGATCGAAGAAGAAGGGCTTGAGACCGGCCTTGAAGGAAGCTTCAAGCCCTAACGTCAAGGCTTTCAGCTCAGAGTCCAGGCGTATACACCAGTGCAGAGCTGGGGGGTGGGGTGTGGGGGGTAACGTGCTGCATTGTTCACCCACAAATATACAGTCAATTCACTTTGCAGTGTGTTCTGTGAAGCGCTTTGGGACGTCCTCCCGACGTGAAAAGCGCTATATCAAATGCAAGGATTATTATTATTATTATTATTATTATTATTGTCATCTGTCTGCGGCTGTTCGCGTGGACGTTAAAAGATCCCAGGGCGCTTTCTGAAAAGAGAAGGGAGTTTCTCGTGGTTTCCTAACCAACGATTCCCCTCCCTCTGACCCTGGGTAAAATTAGCCGTTCATTTCACGACTGTTGATTTACTTCATGGATGTGGCTGTGGGTAAAAAACATAGTGTGTGTGTGTGTGTGTGAGTGTGTCTGCGTGTGCGTATGAGTGTATGAGTATGTGGGTGTGTGTGTGTGTGTGTGCGTGAGTATGTGAGTGTGTTTGTGTGAGTGTGAGTGTGTGTGTGTAAGTGTGTATGTGTGTGTTTCTGAGTGTGCGAGTGCGTATGTGTGGGTCGGTGAGCGCTGCGGTTGCTGACCGACCATCTGATGGTCGCCCCTTCGTTCCAGATGGTGGGCTTGACCCACTGATGGCCGCGTCTGGGCCTCTGCCTTGACCGAGAGTGACCATGCCGTCCTCGGGCGAGACGGAGCATGACATCGGAGCCTGGCTCTCCAGCATCCACTTGGAGAGATACCGGGAGAACTTTGTGCAGCACGGATTCTACTCCTCCAAGGACTCCGCTCGCTTCGACAGCCAAATCCTCCTCCACATCGGGATCACGGCCACCGGGCACCGCAAGCGCATCCTGAAACTGGCGCAGAAATCGGGCGCGCCCGTGGGCGACCAAGCCCCCGGGGCCCTCGCGGCCGACACCAGGCCAGAGCCGGACAGGACCGGAGCCGCCGGCGAGGGGAGGGTCCGCCCAGTGGTCTCCGGCAACGACTCGCCCGCGGAGGCCGAGGGCGAGGCGGAACCTCCGCCGGTCAGGCCGGTTCCCAAACCCCGCACTCTGCTGATCAAGCAGCACCCGGCGCCCAAGCCGGTGTCGGAGCGCCTCCCGGAATATCCCGAGGCTTCCCACGGTTTCCTGGCCAGCGGAGGGGCGGACTGGCCCGAACCGAGCGCTGCGGGGGACCCCTCGCCTCTCGGAGAAAGGATCCCTCCCACGGGCAGCGAGGACCCCAGCGGAGTGCCCCCCATCCCCCCGAGGCTCAGCCGAGGGCGGGCTGGAGGTGAGGGGAACATGCGCGGAGGCGAGTGCGAGCAGCCCGGTCCCGGCTCCCGCTCCCTGCCCGCCCTCTCCAGCTTCTCCACGCTCACGGCCAGCGCCCACGAGAGGCCTCCTCTGCCGTCCCCGTCGTTCCACTCCCTCCCGCTCATGCCCTCCCACGGCAGCGCGTTCATGGGGGAGATGGTCGCCAACGAGCTCTACACTACGGCCAAGGTTTCCTCCTCCTCCTCGGAGAGGAGGCAGTCGCTTTGCACTGACACCTTCGAGACGACCAAGACCAGGCCGGTTCCCCAACCCCCGACACTGACCAGGCCTGACACGGGCCCACATCAGCAGAAGAAAAGGTAATACAACAACGACAACAAGATTCCATTTATAGAGCGCCTTTCACGTCGGGAGGACGTCCCAAGGCGCTAATGGGTCAGTCAAGGGGGTTAGCGAGCGAACAGAACAGGCAACCAGGGCGGGCGGGGCGCCTCTTGCTTTGTTTCGCGCCTGTCCGTGCTCTCTCCGCACAGCGGGTTCCGGTTTGCTTCTCGTCACCCGCCCGCCGCTACCCCACCATCGCCGGGCGTGACTTCAGCCACTCTGCACCCCCCCCCCCCACCCTTTGGAACTCAATCCACAGTCCCTTCACCTCGCCCCCTTCCCTCTCCTCCTTCAAGACGCGGCTCAAGATCCTCCTCTTCAACAGTGTCTGCGGTCACCCTCCTGTGCCTCCACACCCCATCCCCCAACCCCCCACTTGCCCTCCGCCACTCCTGATCCCAACTCCCAGCTCAGGTCCAAATCCCAGACTGTCCATGAAGAGAACCGTATAACTACAAGCTGTCAATATTGACATCCCCTGACTTCTACTACACACCTGAACAGGGCGGGAAGAGGAGCGGATGGGGGGGTGGGGGGATGGGGGTGGGGGTGTATAATATTGAGCAGCTGGTTCCAATCTGAAAGCTCTTTGGCATGTCTGCGTGTCCACACCTGCCCCCACTTTGAAAAACAAGATCCATCACTTTTCTTTCTGTTTGACGGACAGATATAATCTGGGGCTGCCTCGACTGCCAGGCCAGGCATCAGAGGAGGAATATCCAGGTGAGGCTTTCCCGTGGGAACCAGGGTGGTTACCTGACCACTTTATATAATATATATATACATATTTGTACGCTTAACGGATCGTGCAAATCTAGAACTCTTGAAAAGTTCTATTAGGAGGACAATTTGCATAAACTCTGTCTGAATTGCATTGGACTTAGAAGGTTGAGGGGTGATCCGTTTGAGGCGTTTAAAATAGTAAAGGGATTCGATAAGGTGACGGCAAAGAAAACTATTTCTTCTGGTGGGGGGTGAATCCGGAACAAGTGGGGACGTCATCTTAAAATTAGAGCGAGGCCATTTAGGAGTGAAATCCGGAAGCATTTTTTCACACAAAGGGTAGTGGAAATCTGGAACTCTCTCCCGAAAATTGTCAAGACTGAAGTAGGTGGACATTTGTCAGGTCAGGGTGTCAAGGGATATGGGGCAAAGGCGGGTAATTGGAGTTGAGGTACAGATCAGCCGTGATCTAATAGAATGGAGAAACAGGCTCGAGGGGCTGAATGGCCTCCTCCTGTTCCTATGTTCCACACTGCGAGCTCAAAGTCCCCAATATGGGTCTTGAACCCACGACCATCTGACTCACGTCAACAGCGTAAACTCAGTGAGCCAGGCTGGCATCTGCATGGATATGCACTTCGGACGTGGCTGATATCAGATGTAAAGTATTGTAGATAAATGAGCAATAAGTGACTTAAAAATTGGTAAATAGGACACACAGTCGGTAAAGACATTAGATGAAAATCCAATTTTTTTTTGTTAGGTCTCAGTTGCCTTCAGCGAATAAAACATACTATGTTTTTCTTCTGATACCCGACGCTTATCTGCCTGGTTTACTCCAGCCTGCTTTGTAACTCTTGGTGTCATGGCCTTTAATTAACTATTATTATTTTTATTTTGATCCTTTGCATTTTACTCGTGTCTTCAGATCAGCTGGAGGATTCGATCAACCTGCTTTACGAAGGATTCATTGAAAGCTCTCAGCACAAGGTAGGAGTTTATAGATTGTAATTATTAGGAATAATAGTGTCGTGACTGTATATTTTGCAGGCAAAATATCCTTAACAGTTGAGACTCTTTCAGGACACAGGCCCTTATCCCTCCAATGACTCTCTTTGGAGAGTACGTCAGTGCATTCACAGTCACATCCACAACTTTAATGATAAGCTCATTAATCGCTGACCTCAATAAATACCTGGATCATTCGAGCTAATTTCAACGAGCTTTCCGTTGTCTCTCAGTAGTAAGTGGAGAGCCCGTAAGATTTATTATATGTTGAAATGAACAGCAGAATTTTATCGCATGAGTAACACAGCGACTTATCACGCCTTCGAGACATCACAAAGCTCTTCACAGGATATACTGTAAAGTGAATTGACATTGTATTTTGTGTTATGGGCTGACCTTGTCATGGAGACAGGACCATACTCTCTGTTTCTCCTCCTCTCTCTCTCTCGCTCTCTCTCTCTTAATCTCGACTCTCATCTCCGTTGGCGTATCATGTATCCATCCATCTCGGGTGGCTTTTGAGAGAGTCTCTATGAAATTTAGGGCGCTGGCCTGAAAGAAGAGACAGAGAGAGAGAGAGAGAGAGAGAGAGAGAGAAACAACCCTCGTTGATGTCTTTGTTTTGTTTCTAAAGGACGATACGCAAGATTCAGGGCAAACGGCAGATTACAAGGAGCCTGGTCCAACGAAGGAAGAGCAAGGAAAGGAAAAAGCCTTTCGGTACGTTTGGAGAGGCACAGACTACAGTCTGGCCATTGCCTTATAGCCCGTCTCTATTGCCTGTTAATCTGTCTGTTCCTGTGTCCCGTCAGTGAACTTCACGTTGGTCACACACTCCTTAACTTAAGTTAAGGCTGCGGTTTAAAAACTCCCCAAATTGCACACAAAGAGAACGAAATAACATAGAGCTTTGCAGCGCTAGAAACAGGCCATTCAGCCCAACTACTCCACAATCCCTCCCAATCCCCTCGATTCCCTTGCCTCTCACGTAGGCACAAAGTTTAATTTCTTCCCCTTTCAATCGGCTGTGTCAAGGCCAGAACCGAGTTTCTCTTTCAGGCAGAGCGACTGCCAGCGAGAGGATGCCTGCTCTCTGTCTGTGATGACTTAACAGGAAATTCTTTCCTTTGTGGTTTCATATTTCTACTTTAGCACATTTTGCTTAACGTCTGCGGTTGTTCAATACCATTTGTAGGGTCATATGTTTCTTCTGGACCCACAGCAGGGTGAAAACTTGGGCAAGTTTCCTCAGTCCACACGCCGAATAATAATCCCTCAATAAAAAAAGCAATAATAAATTGGTCACTTTAATCCACGGCTGTTTGTGGGGACGCTGCTGTGCGCAATTGGCTGCCGCGTTTCGTCCACAAGTATACAGTCAATTTACTTTACAGTAATAATAATAATTCTTGCATTTGATACAGCGCTTTTCACGTCTTCTCGACGTCTCAAAGCGCTTCACAGAATAGACTGTAAGCCGAATTGACGGTATATTTATGGGCGAAAAGCCGCAGCCAATTGCGCACATCAGCGTCCCACAAGCAGTCGTGGTTTGAAATGACCAATTTTTTATTTTTTTTTGAGGGATTATTATCAGGTGTGTGGAGTAAGGAAACTTGTCCAAGGTTTCACCCTCCTGGGAATCGAACCCAGATATTTCTACCCAACATCAGTAAAGCATCCAAACCATCAGATCATACCTGGGTGTGGTTTGAGTGGCAGTGCCTTGGGATATCCTTCCGACGTGAAAAGGCGCTATACAAATGTAATCTTGTTGTTGTTGTTGTTTGTAGGCAAACATCATTCAGGCTAAGTTCCCTCAGACAGAGCATCAAGGGATATGGGGCAAAGGCGGGTAAATGGAGTTGAGGTACAGATCAGCCATGCGGAATGGCGGAACAGGCTCGAGGGGCTGAATGGCCTCCTCCTGTTCCTATGTTGCTAAGAGGAGGTAGAATTTTGAGGCCTCCTGTGTTGGAAAGGGGTGAGGTGGGGGGTGGGGTGGGGGGGAAGGGAAGGGGGGAATTGAAATGCTTCAATGTTGATCACAAATGAACATCTCGCGGTGGTCTGGGTTTTGATGTGCTTCATGTAGGCAGAGCCCTGAGGGGGAAGGCGAACGGGTCAGCCTCCCGCCGCCCCAGCAGCCGTGGGTTGAAGACAGCATCGCCATGGGCTACGCAACGGTGGGAGAGGCTCAAACCGACCACGTCGATGCCAGGCCTCCTCAACCCCAGCGCTGCTGCGTGGAAGAAGACATCGACGAGGACTTAACGATATCGCCTTACGCAAGCTTCCACGCTGTGCCCGAACTAGCCAACGTCAAGCACGACTGGCTGGAGAAACTCTCTCCACAGGGGTGAGAGCCGTTACTATCATATCCAAAAAGATCAGTGACGACATTTATAAGCCATCGCGTAGAGGCCTGTAAGCTCAGTGGTTGGAGCACTCGCCTCGCAAGCGAGAGGACCCGGGTTCGATTCCCGGGCATGTCAGGGCGAAACTTGAGGCAAGTTTCCTAACTCCACACACACTCACACACACACCCACACATGCCTCTGTTTATCCAGCAATAACTAGGAACCCAGTTGTGAGTCATTTAAATAATAGGACTTAAATAATAATAATTTGGTCACTCAATCTGCGCCTGTTTGTGGGACGTCGCCCCGTTTCGCTCGCTTGACTTTACAGTACATTCTGTGAAGCGCTTTGAGACGTCTCGAAGACATGATAAGGCCCTTAATAACCACATGCAAGGATTATTATTATTAACGCTAATTACAGCTCTCGATTTTTCCTTTTTCCGGCCTAGAAATTACGTGTTCCAGAGGCGCTACATCAAATTCGACGGAAAATGTTTGATGTATTTCAACAGTGAGAAGGTGAGATGGTCGCAACCAGCACCCACAGGATGGAGGTTGTCGTACTGAACCTTTGGAACTCGCTCCCTCAATCCCTCCGCCTTCCCCCCACTCCCCCCCTCCTTCGAGATCATGCCTTAAGACCTTGCTCTTCAACCGTGCTTATGGTCACCTCTTCCTTCCCCCACCCCCACCCCCCCCCCCCGGCTTAGCGTCAGCTCCGAGACGCTGCCCCGAGTGAAGGGCATTGGGTAAACGCCAGCTGTAGTTGTTGGTTCGCCTGTGTTATTTTGTGCATTAAGCATCTCTGAATACGGATTGAAGGCACCGTCTTATTACCCCTGGGTTCACTGGTTCGCTTACACTGCGGCAGTCCTGACAAATTGGTGCTCGTGCTGTCAAGCGTGAAAGGCGCAGGACTCCGAACGCGAGGATGATTACGGTGTTTTTTGAAGACAAATATCAAAAGAGACCGAGTAAACACAGTGAAACACACACACGCACACACACACACACACACACACACACACACAGTCACTGCACTTCACAGCCAATCCTGTGAAGCCCACAGACCTTCCGACCAGATGATAAGACTCCCTGACGGCCGGACGGACGGACGGAAGGATAAGTTTGTGATTAACGTTTGGAATCATGCCAATTGCGATACTGTCGTGGCTCGGTCCTGATTCACAGCCGCATTTGTTCAGCAGAAAGCCGGCCTTTACGTGCGCTCTGTGAAGTAACTCTCTCCAAAGGCCGCACAGGCCAATGTGACTGCGCACTTATTTCTCCTTCTCTTTCCCAGGACCCCTATCCTAAAGGCGTGATCCCATTGAGTGTCATCCAGATGGCAAGAACAGCCAGAGAGAACAAGTTTGAAGTCGTCACCAGCCACAGAATATTTACATTTCGGGCCGATAGTGAGAGTGAGTGCGGGCAGGGAACGGGGTCTCTCTCCTTTCAAAACAAGACGCTGGTTTGTGTTGAGACACGACGACAAGTTGCGTTTATATGGCGCCCTTCGGACAGGGTAGAGTCTCGATTGGAGCTGGCTACCAATGTGTGTGTGTGTGGGTGTGTGTGGGGTGGGGGGGTGGGCGGTGGGGGTGGAGAGGAATTGAAGCCTGTGCCATGTTGTTGTAGTGCTTGCTCCCTGATTCAGCGAACGAAACGCACAGTCACTTTGCTTTGAGAGGCGCTTCGAGAGACGTTCCGAAGACCCGAAAAGGCGCTGGCATTATTCTGCGGCGATGAGAAGCCCAGTCGTCCGCGCCCATAACATTCCCCTTCAAGCTAACGGTCGATGCTTTTAGAGGATTCTTGGCCAGGAGAAACTCCCTCCTTTCCCCTCCCTTCCCCCTCAACTCCACCACACGTAGGAACAGGAGGAGGCCATTCAGCCCATCGAGCCGGTCCCGCTGCTTTCCAATAACGTGGCTGACCCACAACTCAATCCCACTCTCGCCGCTCTCGCTCTCCATATCCCTCGACGAACCGTTGACCGAGTATTCACAAATTTGCCTTTTAAATTCTTCCACTGGTATCTGACTGCGCTGCCGTCTGGGGAGTGACAAACCCTCCAGACCTCCACGATAGCTCGCCACTCAGCCTGTCAAATTTGTGGGACTGTTCCCTTCCGGTAGTGGATAGCGGGGTTCGATTCCACCCGGACGGGGCAAAAGCTTAGGCGAGTTCCCTCACTCCGCACACGTGCCTCGGCTTGCCTGGTTGTTGGTCGATTACCGGATCGCTTTCCAGAGGTAATAATCCCGTCCCAAAAAACTTAGGTGACTCAACCCTCAGCACACCCCCGTGCGCAATTTGCTACCGTGTTTTGCCCACGAAACACACAGTCGGTTCTCTTTGCAGTACATCCCATGAAGCGCTTTGGGACATCTCGACGGGGCCGTATCAAATGCGAGGATTATTATTAAATCCCTTTACGATTCTACACCGATGGATCCCATCGGCCCTCGACCTCGCTCCTGAACTCGAGAGAAAGACAGAGAGAGAGAGGCAGAGACCGAGAGAGAGGGGAAAGAAAATATTTCTTTTTTTGGTGTGTGTTTCAGCCCAGAGAAACGAATGGTGCGCCCACCTGCAGAGCGCGGTGAAGAACTATCACTTCTCGTCCTGGCGTCGTGTCGGCTCAGTGACCTTCTGCCAGAAGTGCGGGTACCTGGAGCTGAAGGGGTCCAAGTCCAAGGTGTATGCGGCCCTCAGCACAGATGTCCTCTGGCTGCACAAGAACGAGCAGGTGAGCAAACGTTGGGGGGGTGGGGGTAAGGTTTGCGAGGTCACAGGCAGTGAATATCGTTGTCCAGTCCTGTAGCTCTCGCGAGCGAGAGGATTTCCCGGCCCAGGGCGAAACTCTGGGAAAGGTTTCCTCGCTCCCCACCCCTCCGTTTACCCAGCGGTGAGTAGGCGCTTTTCTGGGGGGTAATAATTCCTTCAAAGACATGAATAATAATCGTTATAAATTGGTCACTCGAACCACGACTGCTTGCGGGACACTGCTGTGAGTGATCGGCTGCCGCGTTTCGCCCACAGTCGGTAGCGCTCTGGCCTCTGAGTCAGATGGTGGGTTCGAGCCCCGCGTCGGGATTTGGAGCTCGTGACCTCGGCTGAGACGTCAATAAACTTCAGGGGGGGGGAGTGGGGGGCGCTGCGATGTCGGAGACCCCGTCCTCCGGATGAGACGCGTAACGACAAATGCAAGGATTATTATTATTTATTATTATTAACAAACATTTAACGCCAAAAAATGGCAACTTTCAAATAAATATTAATAATGATAATGTCTGCTCTGGCCGGGGGCCGGTGTGTGGGGGGGTGGGGGGTGGGGGGGAGGTGGCAGCGCAGACACAACAAGCTGAACATCGCGGTTTAGCCTGACTTCCCGAGAAACTTTGCCGCGATTCGGAGACGCTGCCGTTACTTCCGTTAGAAACGGCCTGAGATATCGCTCGCGTCCCCCAACGACCTTTTGCTTTCGCTTCGCAGAGCTTCAAAACCGGAATCGGGATCACGACCATCGAGGTACAGGGCATCACGATCCGAGACGGGAACCGCAAGAACTTTGAACTGGTCACTCCTTTTAAAACCTTCAGGTGAATGGGTTTGCCTTGGCCCGGTTCCCGGCCTCTATTTTCGCCCGCGGAATACGCACGGTTCGATTCGCCGCACAGTAAATCCCGTGAAGCGCTTTGAGACGTCTCGAAGACGTGATGAGGCGCTGAGTCAAAGGCAAGGATTATTATTGTCGGTGCTTTGCACAGTTAGGTGGAGGCAGGTCACTGGTACTGACACCTCCCCACCCTCTCAGTTCTGCTCTGAGGCTTGGCACAGATTGCGCTGTTGTGAGCAAACCAAGATGGTTTGGCAGTTGAGCTGCCAGCAATACTTTGAGCAAGGGCTGGGGATAGCAGGTAATTAAAAAAAAACCTTCAGAGGACGACAGTATCAAAGGAAACCTGTTGCTATTAGAATGCATTTCATGCAGAGCTCCTACGAAAAGGAACGAATAGTACCTCAGGGCTCGAAACGACCGTTGCGAAGAAGGTTGTGGGTTTAAGTTCCCCGTCGGGACTTTGAGCTCACAGTCAAAGCTGACACTCCAGACCAGGGCAGCGCTGCGGGGAGGGTGGGGCGGTGGGGTGGTGTGAGCTCTGCGTTTTCGGAGGTGCCGTCCTTCAGGCGATCATTAAATGGACCAAGCGCATGCAAACCGGCCATTCTATACATACCTAACAGCGTGAAGCGCTTGGAGGCGTTAGGACAGAGCGATGAGGCGTTGTAATGAACGCGAGGATTATCGATACAGTAAAACTCGTTTAAGTCTGATCTGTGTAAATCGTATAATAGTCTAGAAGTTCCACATTCCTATTATTTATATTTATAACTCATGCTTTGCATGTCTTATTCAATGTCGTGTCCCAACGGATATGACTTACGTGAGGTTCACTGTATATCTATTGAACCCCCCTCCCCCCACCCCAACTGAACCCCACCCCCTTGTTGGTGATGGCTGCAGTTTCACAGCGGAGTCCGAACGAGAGAAGAAGGAATGGGTGGGAGCGCTCCAAGACTCCATCGCCGAGACCCTCTCCGATTACGAGGTGGCCGAGAAGATTTGGTCCAACAAGTTCAACAAGACGTGCGCGGACTGCAGAGCCCTGAACCCCGACTGGGCCTCCATTAACCTGTGTGTGGTCATCTGCAAAAAGTGCGCAGGTAACTGGGACGCAGACTTCTCAGCGTTGAGAGAGCGGCCACGGAATCATTGACCTGAGAAATGATTCACCGCTGAGGTTGGAGACAACAACAGGTTGCATTTGTTTGGCGTCCTTCGCGCGGAGCGCTTAATGCAAGTGGGGTCCTGTAGCTCAGTGGTTAAAGCGCTCGGTTCATGAGCCAGAGGACCCGGGTTCGAGTCCCAGGCGGGATGAAACCTTAGGCAAATTTCCTTCCTCCACACACACACACACGCGCGCGCCTCCGTTTACCCATCCGTGAGTAGGAACCCGGGTTGTTAGTCGAATGGCGGGATCGCTTTCAAAAAAATTGAACTCAATCCACGACTGTATGCGTGGGACGCTGCTGTGCGCAATTGGCTGCCGCGTTTCGCCCACAAAATAGGCAGTCAATCCACTTCACGTCACATAATGTGAAGCCCACGAGTCTCGGTAAGGCTTTGAGGATGTGATAAAGCACTGTGTGAAACGGAAGGATTAGTTTTATCATCGTACTGAGTGCGACTGCATTTGTCCACAGGTGAGCACCGTGGTTTGGGCACGACCGTTTCCAAAGTGCAGAGTCTGAAGCTGGACACGAGCGTGTGGACCAACGAAATCGTGCAGGTTAGCTCGCTCATCCCCATCCGTGTCCCAGTGCAAGAGAAGACGACTCTCTCTCTGCCCGTTAAAGTAATCGAACGCAAGCGTGGGCCAGTTTCCAGGCAGGTTGTTGCCGGGAAAGGCGCTTGAGGCCGGGACGAGCCGGTCAGATGGGCCGAAGGGGCCTCTTCATCCGATCCCTTTCCGGGGGTAATAATCCCTCAAAAAAACTGAACGAGTTCCATCCACGACCGCTGTGCGTGATTTGCTGCTGCGTTTCACCCACAGAGTACCACCCACAATCAATCCACTTTACCGTATTCCCGTGAAGCGCTTTGAGACATCTCAACAGCGTGGTCAGGCGCTAAGTCAAATGTAAGGATTATTATTAGTATTATTATCTTATGTCTGTAGCCGTAGGGTCAGTGGGTCAAACTGAAATAAGGTGCGAAACGGAAGTAGCCCATCTGAAGACCTGAGTGGCACGTGCTATATATTTGGTGTCCCATCTCCCTCTCCTGTAGCTGTTCATCGAGTTGGGCAATGAGAAAGCCAATAGGTTCTGGGGAGCGCGGTTGACTCCGGGGGAAGAGTTGGATACAGATGCTACAGCAGAGAGACGTCGAACATTCATCACAATGAAATACCGAGTTGGCATCTACAGGCAACCTCATCCCAGGTTCACGATGCAGGAGGAGCTGCTTAAGGTAACAACATCTAATCTCGTCTGTGTAGTGACTTGCTTATCAAGCCACGGGTTGACTTGACTGAGGAAAGTCCTTTAGTTCTTAACCGTGGAGTCCTGCCTCGCCTCGTAAGCCCTCCACCACGGTTCGATTCCCGGGCGGGGCGAAATCTTAGTCAAGTTTCCTTACTCCACACGCCTCTGTCTACCGAGCAGTCAGTAGGAACCAGGTCATTAGTTGATTGGTGGATGGCTTTTCCGGAGGCAATAATCCCTTCAAGAAAACAAAGCAATAAATAATAATAATTTGGTCGCTCAGTCCATAACAGTTTGTGGGACACTGCTGTCCTCAATTGGCTGCCACGTCTCGCCCACAAAATACACAGTCACTACTCTTTAAGGGAGGGATGTTCCGTGAAGCACTTCGAGATATCTCAACGACGTGATACGGTGCTGTATCAAATGCAAGGATTATTAAGACGATTATTATTATCAGCTTGTTGATTTTTATAGTTTGTTCCCCCCCCCCCACCCCCACCCCACACACACACACAGGCTCTTTGCACAGCTGTAAGTGGCCCTAGTCTCCTCCAGGCAGTGATGCACATCTTCTCCGAAGCAGAGAGTATGGGATTGGAACCCGATGGCAGCAACATATTTTATCTGCCACTACAGAACCCCACCCAACAGCCGGGGTTGGACCACTTGGCCACAAGGAACTCAGGTACTTGTCAAACCCTACGGACTCCAAATACAATGTATAAGCATCGGAAACACACAAAATAGGGACATGCAGTAGAAAAGGGTATCAAGGGATAATGTGCAAGGACGGGTAATTGGGGTTGAGGTACAGAACAGCCGAGATCTTACAGAATGACTACGCTCCTGCGTTCCTAACCCCTCTTACAACGCAGTTCTTAGGCGGGTGCATAAGATTCCCACCCGCCTAACGGGGCAGCTCGATCGCTACTCAACCGTCTTCCAGGTCACCAGATGACCGCCGACATCACTTCCTGCACGCAGCAGAAAACGGCGTCAAAAACGATTCCCCCCCCCACCACCGCTCCCTTGCCCCCCCGATCACATCTAGCCTGATGTGCTCCAGCCTCCTGGAACGAGCCAAGCCAGAGAGCCAGTTTGGAAGTTTACAGGAAATCAAGCTGCAGATGTTGCTAATGGAAACCTGCCGTGTGCGTGTGCAGGGAACTACGAAGGCCATGTCGCTGGTTTTGCGAAGCGCTTTGAAATGTCCGTCATGAAATCCGTCTGTACAAATGGAAAATGGTTGCTGTTCCGTGATATATTAGCCCCGCCTGCGTTCTACACCCCCTTTTTTGGGCCACCAACAAATTCACCCGGTGAATACGATTCGTGTTCACTGGGCCCCGAGGCTCACCTTGTCAGTTCTCAGCCCAGGGCATCAACTTGTCCTGGATTTACGTGGTGCGAGTTCTGGAAAATTCTCAAATCCAGTCCGAGTTTAAGCCCTATCGGATAGGGTGGTCCCAGCTGGACAAGCAACGGGAAGGCTTGCCAGACAGCGGTACCAAAGACAAGCTGTGCGATTTAAGATGGTTAGACTCCGGCAGTTACCCCAACGCACACTCTGAGGACCCCAAGCTTTGGCTCTTGCCAACCTACGCCCTAATACTTTCCAGAATTGGGTAAGCAGGAAAGCGCTCCTCCAGGAGGAGGACATTTGAATGAGACTGCCTGGTTGGTGGAAGGTGAACTGGATGGACCCGTGCCTTCTTTCCTCCAGCAAATTCTTATGCTCTGATGTAAAGTTACGACGTTATTTGAGAAATGTTCCCTGTTTCTCCGTTACCTTAAGATTTAAGGCTTTAAACCGTGTTACGAGGCTGAAGCCAGCTCCAATTTTTTTGGCCTTTGGCCACACAAACTTCTGAAGCAAATTCTGCTATTACTTTCCTGAGAGCCGGTGTGTTAGTGGCGATCTGTCGATGTGCCAAACCCGATTGTGCCCACATCAAGGCAAAAATGCAATGGAAACAGATCAGTGGAAGTAGACGCACTGGGAAACAAACCTGGGAGCGTTTATTCTGCCTCCGCTACATGCATCTCAGTCCATCAAAGCAGCCAAAATGTGCCTCGCTCCGTGCAAAGGACATTTTGAAAATAATTAAGCCTTATTTAATCAGTTCGTTGCCAGCACAGTAACCCCCTTGACTGTTTCCCCCACTGATTGAACCGGGCTGTGGAATCCTGCAGCGTGGAGGTTTAAAAAAAAAACCCTCGCCTCGCAAGCGAGAAGACCTGGTTTGGATTCCCGGGCGAGACAAAACCTTCCGCAAGTTTCCTTACTCCTCTGTGTGCCCAAGCAGTCGGTAGGAAACCGATCGTTAGTCAATTGGTGGATGGCTTTTCCAGGGAAAAGAATAATCCCTTAAAAAAAAAAGTCGTGGTCGCTCAATCCACAACTGTTCGTGGGAAGACGCTGCTGTGGGTAATTGACTGCCGCGTTTCGCCCACAAAATACACAGTCACTGCACTTTGCAGTATATTCTGTGAAGAGCAACGACGTGATAAGGCTCTGTACCAAATGCAAGGATTATTATTATTATTATTATTATTCAGAGCGAACGTACCAAAGAGCTTCCTTTGTTCCCGATGTCTCCGGTGACCCAGTGCTGCGCAGCTGCTGATTTTATTCCCAGGGACCGCGCGTGACAGTGACCTTTGCCTTTCCTTGTTCCCGGCAGAATTTCCCAATCCCGGCTCCTCCGGCAACGCGAACATTTACAATGAGATCACGTATCCCGGAGTGCACTGCGGTTACCTGCACAAGACGTCAGCCATGACACGGCTGCCCACCAGCAAGAAGTCAAAAGATGGTAAATCGGTCAACACTGAGACCCCCTCCCACACACACACGTAACACACACACATACACACACACATATACACCTACACACCCCCCTCCCCACACACCCACACACACACAAACACGCGCACTCACACACACGCGGGCGCTGTTGAAAAAGCGAACAGAGTTTCTCTCCCGCTATCCTGGCCAACAATCCCCCCCCCGCCCCCCCCACACCCCACCACCACCCCACCCCCAGCGATACAATCGGTCATTCACTTAAGTCACTTCAACAACAACAACAACTTGCATTTACACCGCGCCCCCGTGCCGAGCTGGGCTGCCAACAACTCCACGGCTGTTTGTGGGGACGTCGCTGTCCGCAAACCGACCGCCTACAAACATCCGGTCGCTTCGCTTTACAGTGCATCCTGTGAAGCACTTAGGGACATATGCTCCTGACGTGAAAGGTTTCCGTACCTAATGTAAGGATTACTATTACTATTGTTACCCCGGCTGCGTTCTGTCAGTGATTTCCCTGTGTGTGTGTGTGTGTGTGTGTGTGCTCTCCTCCCTACGTCAGAGTTCCAGAAACAGTGGTGCTCCGTGCAGAAGTTCCTCCTCTTCTACGAGACAGACAAGAGCAGCGAGCCGGTTGGAAAGATCGAGATGAGGGAGATCGTGTGCCTTGGAGTGAGCAGGCCGGAGTCAGTCACCAGCCCGGGTCCCACAGACAGGTACCATCCCCTTATTGATTACTAAATACCACTTAAATCCTTCTCGGACCTTTACTCAGCCAGTCTTCTGCCCTTCTCTCTCAGGAATTGGGCTTGGGCTTGAAAAGGAAAACACTTGCAAAGCTAGTGGGGGAAAGAGGAAGGGGTGGGGGTGGGTGGGACTAGCTGGATTGCTCTTTGCAGGATCCCACGATTCTAATAATAATTTGGTCGCTCAATCCACGACTGTCTGTGGGAAGTCACCGTGCGCATTTGGCTGCCGGGTTTCGCGCACAAAACACACAGTCGCAGTGTATCCCGTGAAGCGCTTTGAGACGTCTCGACGACGTGATAAGGCGCTAGATCAAAACGCAAGGATGATTGTTGTGATGCACGTGATTCATATGATTCTACGTTTCCAGATTCCGCTACACGTTTGAGATCTTCATGTCGTCCGAGAAGCTAATCCAGTTCGGCACCGACAACCCCGATACCTTGCAATCATGGACCAGCTCCATCTCAAAGGTAACTCCCAGCTTCCCGGCGGTTTGCCGGCCTCAAGCCAGCCTGACCGAGCCAGCGGACTGAGCGAGGGCTCAGTCTCCTGCGGCCGGAAAAATTACACAGCACAGTAAAACATGCCAGGGATATTTCACTCGCAAAAACATACAGTCAATTCACCTTACAGTATATTGTGTGAAGCACTTTGAGACGTCTCAAAGATGTGTTAAGGCACTGCATCAAATCCAAGGACTATTATTATTATACGAGTTGTATGAGGTTTAGACATACAGTAAAGCTGCCGTAAGTCTTTATGCCATTTATACCATTGCCTAAATCGTGTATTCAATCCCATTCAGTTTCCGACCAAAAAACGGACTGAAATTTCTTTGCACTTGTCATGTTTTACGAAGCAAATCGTCTCCTAACTCCGCACTTCCCGGTCAGTCACATCGAAACACTGGAAACGGTCTCACCCGTCGACGCATGAGCACTTACTGTGTCTGTGTGTCACCCTAATCCTAATATGGGGTTAGAGTAGAGAGCTCCGGTGGGGGGAGCGAGCCCCAGCACAGACATGATAAGCGCTCTAGGACGCTATCTTGCGTGAGGGGCGCTATACAAATGCAAGTTGTTGCTGCTGTTGTTGTTACCTGCTGGCATTGAAGTCCGCTTGCACGGTGTAGATTATCGATCGAATCGGATCTTGTACGAGTTACGCAATGTTTGCCTGTCACTCCTTACTTTGCGTAATTCACGTTAAAGGGTTACGGTCCCGATTTATGTTGGTTTTCCTGTTGACACGCTGGAGGAAGCTGGTGGGGAAACAGGAGGAGAGGCCGAGTTACAGCGATCATCTGCCTCTGGCTGACATTGTGATTCTCTCTGTCGCACACCCAGGGGTTCCCCTGCCCCAGTTTACACAGCCTGCTGGACAGGGAGTTCGATCGAATCGGCAGACTGCAGTACAGATCGTTCAGCAACCCTGAGCAGTGGAAGGAAGGCTGGTTCATGCTGAAGAAATCCAACCTGATTTTCTGCTCCGACGAGGGGGGAATGCTGGAGGACACCGTCCACCTGAAGAGCCTCCAGGAGCTGAGTGAGTCTCACGGGGAAACAGACCTTGTAAAATCAGAGAATTGACCGTTCGGCCCATCGTGCCTGTGCCGGTTCTCTGGAAGAGCTACCAACTGGTCTCTCCCACTCCCCTGCTCTTACCCTGTAGCCCCGCGCATATTTTTTTCCGGTACAAGTGCCCATCCGATTCCCTTTTCAAAGCTATTATTAAACACGCCTGCTGTTTACCCAGCAGTAGGTTGGGACCCGCTTGTTGGTCGACCGGCGGATCGCTTTCCGAGGGTAAAAATCCCTCCAGAAGAAAAAATTTAAAAGGATAATGATTTGGTCACTCAATCCGTGAGACGCTGCTGTGCGCAATTGGCTGCCGTGTTTTTCCTCCAAAATACACAGCCTCTACGCTCCGGTGTATCCTGTGAAGCGCTTTGAGACGTCTCGTAGACGTGATGAGGCGCCATATCAAACCCAAAGATTATTATTATCATCATAATTATTATTATTATTATCGAATCTGCTTCCACCCACCTTTTCGGGCAGTGCATTATTCCAGACCGTAACAACTCTCCGGCTCGAAACAATTTAAGATAAAGAACAGCCACTGCGGCCCTCTGGAAACTTTGGAACACTCTCCCGCTATCCCTCCGCCTCGCCCCCTCCTTCCCCCATCTTCAGCTCGTGCCACCCTCCTCTTCGACCGCGCTTCCGGTCACCTCCGCCCCAACGAACATCCCCCCCCCACCCCACCTGGCTCAGTGTCGTGCTCCGCCACTGTCAGGCGCTCTAGGTCTCTAACCTAAGTAGTCGTTGCTGTTTAATTTTGACCCCTCCACCCCCACTATATTGGGACTTTCTTACAGTTTCTCTTTTCATCGTTTCCCCCCCACCCCTTCTCCTCATTCCCCCACCGCCCCCACCCCCACCCCCCTACCACCTCACAACAGCCTTCACCACTCTGCAGGAAAACAGTGAGAAGAAAGAAATGTTGCGTCTGGTCGAAAAAGAAAGGTAAAGCTAACTGAAAATTATCGTTACAGCAAATTTATAATAGTCACAATAACCGGTGGAGTCCTGTAGCGCAGTGGTTAGAGCCCTCGACTCGCAACCGAAAGGACCCGGGTTCGATTCCCGGGCAGAGCGAAACATAGGCAAGTTTCCTTACTCCACACACACACACGCCTCTGTTTACCCAACAGTAAGTAAGAACCTGGTTGTTAATCGATTGGCGGATCGCTTTCCGGGGGTAATAATTCCTTTGAAAAAAAAATTTGGTCGCTTCAACCCGCGGCTCTTTGTGGGGACGCTGCCGTGCGCAATTGGCTGTCGCCTTTCGCCCACGAAATACGCGGTCCGTTCACTTAACACACGCGCACACATATAGATATCCTGTGAAGCGCTTTGAGAACGGCTCGAAGTCGCGGCGAGAGGGCTCTGCGTCAAATGCGAGGATTGTTGTCGTTAATGACTGTCGTTGCCGGTGTAGAACGCTGTACCTGCGCGGTATCTCCCGGCTGGATTACACCGCCTGGTGCCGGGACATCCAGAGCGCCGCGGGGAGCCGGGGAAACGCGCTGTGCGACCAGCAGCTCAGCCGCAACGACATCCCAATCATCGTGGACAGCTGCATAGCTTTCATCACCCAGTACGGTGAGTGAGCGTCAGTGGGGGGTGGGGGGCTTTGAGGGGACGGCCTACTGACAAACCGTGACTGGTGACGGGTCAAGAGCTCGCTGTGGAGGAGTGGGGGGGGGAGGGGGGTGAGACGAGGAGCTGAGGTTTTTTTGGGGGGGAGGGTTGGGGTTTGGAAGGGGGTGGGGGGCTCAGCTGGATGTCTGACACATAGAATCATAGAATTATACCGCACAGAAGGAGGCCATTCGGCCCATCGTGCTTGTGTTGGCTCTTCGCAAGAGCTACCAGCTCTTCCCACTCCCCCCGCACTCTCCCCACAGCCCGGCAAACTTGTCCACCCCACCCCAAAATACCTATCCGCTTCCCTCTTGAAAGTTGTTATCGAATCGGCTTCCACCAGCCTTTCAGGCAACGCGTTCGAGCTCCCAACAACTCGCTGTGTGAAAACCCGCGCGCAAGCGGAAACCCAGCAACGTGCTTAAGAGTGTCTGGGAATTCCATACATCCCATCTTCACACGGAAATCCCAGAGATAGATAGTTGGAATGGAATGCTCTCTATCTCTCGCTCTCTCTCTCGGAGAGACGCATCCTGCTCACCTAATTCCGGAGAGTGTTAGGCGCAGGTTGACAAGAGCCAAGGCTTGTGGGGGGGACCCCAGAGCGTGGGTTTGGGTTAAAGTAAACTGCTAGAGTCTAACCAGCTGACGCCGCTCAGTTTGCCATCGAGAGCTCCGTGGAGGACCTGATCTCAGCCTCAGGCAGAGCCTGAGTGGAGTCGAGCATCTACAGCACAGGGTGGGATCTCACACCTTCACGTGAACTCTCCACCGGCCAATATCAGTGTAGACGTCGCCCTCTACTGGCCAATGCCACAGTGACATCGCCCTCTACTGGCCAAAGTCAGAATGGCAGAGTCTCCCACTGCCCCCCCCCACACACCACCGCCCTCCCCCCCACCGTTGTATTATTCCTTCACCCGACGTAAGCTTCTTGTGCTGGTGGGATGCTTCCAAACGAGGGCTGTGGCGTCTGATGCCAGTCGATGGGGGGGTGGTCTTTTGATGCCACGCCAAGCGAACACAGTGGCGTGTGGGTGATGTAGCCTAAACCTCCCTCCCCTCGCCCTTGTTGTGTGGAACTCCATCCCACATTCCCTTTGCCTGTCTTCCAACCTCGCCTCCTTCAAAGCGTGTCTCTCAAAGCCCTCCTCGGCCTTCGGCCCACCCTCCTAACCCCTAGCTCGGGTCCAAACCCCTGACTGTCCAGCGCCCGGGGACGTCCTCCCGACTCAAATGGATTGTGTTGTACGTGACAGGCTTGCGACACGAAGGGATTTACAGGAAGAACGGGGCAAAGTCTCGCATCAAGCTGCTGATGGACGAGTTTCGGAAAGACGCCAGGAACGTCAGGCTGCGAACCGGAGAGCACTTCATCGAGGACGCCACCGATGTCCTCAAGAGGTTTTTCCGAGAGATCGATGATCCGGTGTTTATGATGGAACTTCACCCCCAGTGGAAGGAGGCAGCCGGTAAAATCTTGTCACCCACGCACAGGATCGTAATAATAATAATAATACTAATAAGCAGAGAGCTCCACATCCACATCAACTGGCATCACAACGATTCAAACCATTTTCTGGTCAACCGGGGGTCTTGACTTACACGAAAACTCATCATCGCCGTGCTTGAGAGTATCCAAACCAAGCTGAGAATGTCGGTTAACAATAATAATATTAATAATAATAATAATATAATAATATTATTGTTTAACGGGAATAAAATAGAGGCGTTTAGACACAAAGGGCTTCGAGAGAGACCCGACAGAGTGAGCGTAACCTTCTTCCCTTTCGCTTCAGAGATTCCACACAAACCCCAGCGACTGAAGCAATACAAGGAGATCATTAACCTGCTTCCCAAGGTCAACAGGATAACTCTCGCTGCCCTAATCGGTCACCTGTACAGGTAACTGTAAACCCACAACAATACTTTCAGACGCACCGACAACAAGAACAAGTTGCATTGACGCAGTGTCCCTCATGCGGGTTTATAGTTAGAGTTGAGGTCCCAGGAAGTTTGTCTTTATCCCGTGAGGGTAATCGAAGTCTGGAGCAGGTTCCGGGAAGGATGGTTGTTGCAGTGATGGGAGGACGGTAAGGGTCGGGTGTTCTGGAAGGGTTTGAGATCGGATGGGTCGAGCCTGGAGTTGCGAGGATGAGGGTGTTAATTTTCCGTCTCTCCTCCTCCTCCTCCTCCTCCTCCTCCCCGCTAGGGTTCAGAAGTGTGCATCCCTGAACCAGATGTGCACGAAGAACCTCTCGCTGCTCTTCGCTCCCAGCTTGTTTCAGACGGACGGCAAAGGGGAGCACGAGGTCAAGGTGATCGAGGATCTCATCGATAACTACGTGAAGGTGTTTGATGTGAGTCGACGCTCATTTTTTGGGGGCGATGGTTCCTGGAGGGAACATGACTAAGGGTGGTGATAAGAGATAACAACTCCTCCTCGCATTGGACACAGCCCCTAAAACATCAAAAGGTCCCACGCAAAGCGCTCCACAGCTAATCATTGCCAAGTGTAGTGACTGTATTTGTCGGTAAAGGCAGCGGTCAGTCAGTTTGCGCACAGCAATGTCCCAGGGGAGGAACTCCCTTCTCTTTTCGAATAGCGCAGTGGGATCTTTAACATCCGTCTGAAGGTGCAGACGGAAACTTGGCTTAACGTCTCATCCAAAGGAGGGTTTCCCCCAGCACCCCACTGGAATATCAGCCCCAAGTTTACAGTCCCGACCTTTGGGTTTAAAAACCCACAACCTTCCGAGCCAGAGGTGAAAGCAAATAACTGAGCCAGGCTGCTCATTGGAAGGCCCACCAACAGCTCCCTGGTCTCGAAGGCCCATCTCCAAGTTGCTGAGAGGCAGGTTGTTATAATGGGGTGAGGGAGTGACTGTACACGACTGCACTGAGGGTCCTGTTTGATGTGCGGCAGATTGAAGAGGAACAAGTGACACAGATGGATCTGGAGAACAGTTTGATCACTACATGGAAAGACGTGCAGGTGGGTGGACAGCAGGGATTTTCCGCCGAGCTGAGGCACTTGAGAGTCGGTAGCCATTGACGGAGGACATTACAATAGATTATATGTTGCTCAGTCGAGCGTCTGACACACATGGAAACCCATCACCGTTGCTTAAGAGTCTCCAAACCCAACTGAGAATTCCACGTCTCCCACCTACACATAGACATCCCAGAGATAGATAGCTGGAGTCTAACCCGTTAAAACCATATAGCTTGCCATTGAGAGAGAGCGCCTGTCTAGAAAGCTTTCCCGCTGATTTCTTTCACTCTTCAAGGGCATTGAAGGCAGGACCACGTGTATTATCAGACTGGGGGGGGGAGGGGGTGGGAAGTAAGTGGGTGTTATGTGTGTGTTGGTGGGGGGGTGGAGGGGGAGTTGTGGGGGTTTGAGGGTCTTCGCTTACTGGGAGATTGGGAGATGTCGCATTCTAGACCCCGTTGTGTTTTTCGTACACAGTTGGTGTTGAACACGTAGGAGAGAGTGGTTACTTTGCAGAGAGGGAGGTTAACATACAGAGAGAGAGAAAGAGAGAGAGAGAGACAGAGAGAGATGGTGGGGAAAAGAGAGAGAGAGAGAATAACCCCCTCTCACGTGTGCGAACTGACCCGATCTGAGTGTCCGTGTTTGGCTTCCAGCTTTCGCAGGCCGGGGACCTGATAATGGAGGTGTACATTGAGAGGAAGATGTCAGACTGCTGCATTACGCTCAAGGTGAGCTTAGCCCGTGTCCAGCAAGTCACAGAGCCAGCGTTTCAGGTGTCACGCCCGAGACAACAGGACAGCAGGCCTGTTGTGTGGGTTCAGTGCCGTAGCTCAGTGGTTAGAGCTCTCGCTCTCGCAAGAGGACCCGGGTTCGATTCCCGGAAGGGGCGAAACCTTAGGCAGGTTCCCTTACTCCACTCACACGCCTCTGTTTGCCCGGCGGTAAGAAGGAACCCGGTTGTTAGTCGATTGACGGATTGTTTTTCCGGGGGTAATAGTCCCCTTTTTAAAAATATTATAATAATTTGGTCACTCAATCCACGACTGTTTGCGGGGACGCTGCTGTGCGCAATTGGCTGCCGGGTTTCGCCCGCAAAATACACAGTCGATTCATTTTGCAGTATAATCTGTGAAGCGCTTTGAGACGCCTCGAAGACGCGATAAGGCACTGCATCGAATGCAAGGATTATTAACCGCACTTTCTAACACTAAACGCCAGGTATCGCCCACCATGACCTCAGAGGAACTGACAAACCAGGTGCTAGACATGAGGAACATACACGCTGGAGAGAAGGAGATGTGGGTCACTTTCGAAGCCATTGAGAACGGAGAACTCGGTCAGTTTCTGAATCTCTTTGCGAAATGTTGCAAGTATTGTATCTCCAACCCCCAAAAGATCTCTGTGTCGTGCTCGTGCGCTCTCTCTCTCTCTCTCGCACTCTCTCGCTCTCTCTTTCTCTCTGAATTCAGAACCCTACTTTCAGGTGTCAGCCTTGCCTCAGACTGTAGGCCTCTGGGTCCATGAATGTGGGTTCAAGCTCCACCTCGGAGACTTTGAGCTCACATCCTAGGCTGACGCCCCGATCTCTCCCCCAGTGTCCCAGCCGACAATCCCCCAGATAAAAATCGGTCGTTCACTTCATGGCTGTTTGCAGGACAAAATGCATGACTTTGTTTGCGCAAATTGGCTGCCGCATTGGCCTACAAAACACACAGTCCTTCCAACGCCCACCATGACCTCAGAGGAACCAGGTATCGCCCACCATGACCTCCCCCTCCACATCTCTCGCTCAGAGTCTCACATTCCCAATGCTTTCTCTGCTCTTACCCAAACCTGCACCACAATAACTTGGCATTGCCGTCTCCGCAGAACGCCCACTACACCCCAAGGAAAAAGTGTTGGAGCAAGCTCTCCAGTGGTGCAAGCTCGCAGAGCCCAGCTCGGCCTACTTGGTAGTCAAGAAATTCCCAACTGTGGAAGGAGGCAACCTTTATTCAGGTAAGGCTCTTTATTCGGAGCACGAGCGTAGAGAACGGACGAGAGAGACGAGTTTAATTGAGATGCAGGGAAGAAACTGCGTTTGCAGACCTTTATTAGTAGGCTCCGTGGGTTTGGAGGTCAGAAAAATTGTGGAGGATGGGGGGTAGGCGTGAGGAGAAAGGTAGAGGAAGTCCGGTGTGGTTCAGGAGCCTTGATAATCTTGCTGTAATTTACGTCCCAGTGTTGGTCGGGTCTTGAGAAATGGTTAGTGCTCTAAACGTTAAGTGCTCGGAGACACTACCTCGTATGTTGGCCGTTAAATGAATGTAAGTTTTTGTTGAATATTTCTTTGGTGGGGGCGTGGGGGGGTCAGCCGGGTGTCTGACACACACAGAAACGCATCACCGTCTCCAAACCCAACTGAGATTTCCCTGCATCCCACCTACACATGGAAATCCCAGAGATAGATTGTTGGAATGGAATGCGCTCTCTCTCTCTCTCTCTCTCTCTCCCTCTCTCTCTTTCTCTCTCGATCTCCCTGGAGGGACACATCCCGCTTACCTAATTCCAGACAGTATTAGGCGCAGGTTGGCGAGAGCCAAGGCTTGGGGTGGGGGGGGGATCGGCGCCCAGAGTGTGCGATGGGGTAACTGCTGGAGTCTAAACCAGTTAAAACCACACGGCTTGCCATCGAGAGCCCTGTCTGGGCAGCTTTCCCGCTGCTTGTCCAGCTCGGACCACCCTACCCGTTAGGGCTTTGGCTTGCGGGGATAACGGGAGCTGAGTGAGGGAGGATTCTCTGCTCCCGATGACTGGTCGGCCCTCCCAGGACCTGCCGATGAACCAATGTGCTGCCATTGTTGAACGGAGGCGTTACAGTGACCAACCACACTAATGCCCTCCGGTGGCCACGAACCAATGCGCAAGTGACTTCCAAAGACCTGGAGGAGTGAAGGAGTTTGACGGTACCCAGTGGTCACTAATTCCCGCTTCACCGCATCCTGATCCCTCCGTTTGTTTTGTGGGCTTGTTTCTAACAGGTAACAAAAGCGACATCCCCAAGTGTGGGGTCCTCAAGTGTCGCGAGGAACCGCCCAAACTCCTCGGGAGCAACAAGTTCCAGGAGCGATATTTTGTGTTACGGGATCAGAAGCTTCTCCTTTTTAAGGAAAAGAAGGTACGTCGTGTAAACTCTCTCGGGGGTTCGGGCGTGTGATGAAGGATAAACGTGTCATATCATAAACGTCTCTTCCTCTTCTCTTCTGGGGTGTGGGGGTAAGTGCAAGCAATTGGCCTCAACGCTCTTGGGTCAGGGAGGAGAAAGGGAGCAGCTGGTGTTTTTGTTCTGACGCTGGCCAACCCAAGGGGAACGGAAACTCGTCACCTCACCCCCTGCCCACATCCCCTCGATCGGTGTCGCTGCTAATGACATGCTTCCCGCTGGATTCTCCTTCGCAGAGCTCCAAGCCAGAACGTGAATGGCCTCTCCTCTCGCTGAAGGTTTACCTGGGCATCAAGAAGAAGCTGAAAGCTCCGTCGGTCCAGTGAGTAAAGCAGCAACAGCCGGCGAAGCGGCAAGAGGGAAACGTAACAAGAATAATAATTAAAACAATAATAATAATCCTGGGATTTGATACGGCGCCTTATCAAGTCGTTGAGACGTCTCAAAGCGCTTCACAGAATATACTGTAATGTGAATTGACTGTATAGTTTGTGGGCGAAACGCGGCAGCCAATTGCGCAGAGCAGCGTCCCCCCACAAACAGTCGTGGATTGAGTGGCCGATTTTTATTCTTTTGAGGGATTATTACCCACTGGAAAGCGATCCGCCAATCGACTAACAACCGGGTTCCTACTTACAGAGGTGTGTGCAGTAAGGAAACCGTCAGAGACCCAATGTTATCTGGCCTGTGGGATTCCCACCTCCGCAAAGCACATTGACGGGTTGGAGAGGCTCTGAGGAAGAGTAACAAGTGATCACAGGAGAGGTGCAGATGAAGATGGTCCTTTGCCCATTTGATCTCATCCTTCCAGAATCTCCACCCTCAAGCACTCCTGTCTCAGCAGCAATGTTTATTCAGTGAGGCCCTGATAGCCTATTGCGGGTTAAAAAAAATTGTTTCTTCGTTCCTCTTCAGTTATAATAAAACCGGTCACTCACTCCATGGCTGTGTGCAAATTAGCTGCTGCGTTCTCCCCCAAAATACACAGTCCCTCCACTTTACCGTACATCCTGTGAAGCTCTTTGGGACGTCCTCCTGATGTAAAAGGCGCTGGATCAAATGCAAGGATTATTATGATTAATTCCCGGAGTTTATAGCCTCTTTCTTCTGAGATACACGCATTGTGGGCTTATTGTTGTCAGAATGCGCATTCACTGGAGATTCCGTCTCTCCAAATATCTCCTGTTTTCTCCCTGAGCCGCACTGATGCTCTCTCGTCTCTCCTTGACAGGTGGGGCTTTACTTTATTCTCTGAAAAGCAGCAGTGGTAAGTACGTTCCCTCCGCCCACCTCCCCGATCCCACCCTCCCGCCCCATCTTCTAAAATGTGGTCTTTGATCTCATCGCCCGACTCTCTTCAGTCCTCCTCCGGTGTTAGTCTCACCGGCCTCGTGTTCTAAGAGCAAAGCCGAATCTCCACCTCGCTGAGACCACAGTCTCATTCCCTGCTTTCCATGCTCTTTCATGCTTTCAATGCCTCTCTCTTCGCTGGCCCACCCACAACAACAGCTTGTTGTTTGCTTGCTGCAGGTTCCTGTGCTGCTCTGGACAGTCGGAGATGTGGGAATGGGCGGCTAGTATCCTCCGAGCTCAGGTAAGCGGTCAACCCGTTCCGTGGTGACATCTCAATCTGGGTTGCCCCACACCCTTCCCTCCAGAGATGGAGGCAAGCAAGCTCGAATCAGCTTGTGAGGCATCTCCCCCACGTGTTAAAAGGCGAGGCTCGGAGACTCTCTTACAAAGCTATTCCCTCCCTCGTCTTTGTTGTTCAGTCTGTGACGTCGAAGTGGGGGACCTTGTAAAAGTAAACCCCAAACTCTAAACAAGAAGCACCACAACAACTTGTGTTTGCACAGTCGAGCGGAGGCAACAGACAGTGGGTTGGGGTTGGGAGTCAGCAGGTCGGAGAGTTAGGGAGGTTCCAGGTCAACAAACCTCAACAGCAACAATTTGCACTTCTATAGTGCCCATCATGCAGCCAAGAAATATTTTGCTTGTAAAAGCTCCAGCACTTGACCCTGGTGCAGAAGTTGAGGTTGCTGCACAATAAAGTTACAAGTGACATTAACGCAGCGCTTTTCATGTCGGGAGGACATCCCAAGGCGCTGGATAGTCAGGGATTTGGACCCGAGCCTGGAGTTAGGATCAGGGGAGGTGGAGGGCAGAGTGGGTTGGGGTAGAAGGGTGACAGAAGACGCGTCGATGAGTAGGGTCTTGAGCCGGGCCTTGAAGGAGGCAAGGGAGGGGGCATGGCGGAGGGACTGTGGAATGCAGTTCCAAAGGATAGGGGGCGAAGAGGCTGAAAGGCCTGACCGCCGATGGCGGGGCATGTTGTGAAACGTTCGCGATACCCCAGGAGCGATGGAGTCTCAAGCAGGGCGATAGCCCGTAAAGTTTTTGGAACAAGTTTCTTCCGTCTTTCCTTTCAGCACGACGATCTCCGACCTACGATCCTGAGACGCCATTCCTCCTCGGACATGTCTAAGCAGAAATTTGGCACCATGCCTCTCATCCCCATCCACGGCGACGACAGCAATGCCATCATGGTCTCTGCCAACCAAACCTGGTACAGCCACTCAACCACTCACCCCCTCGAGCCTGTTCACCCATTCAATGAGATCACGGCTGATCTGGACCTCAACTCCAATTACCCGCCTTTGCCCCATATCCCTTGATTCCCGGTCTAACCAATATCTATCCACCTCAGCCTTGAAACTTTGAATGGAACCAGCCATAACCCACAGCCTTTTGGGGGAGAGAGTTCCCGATTCCCACTAGCCTTTGGGTGAAAAGCTGCCTCCTGATTTCACTCCTAAATGGCCTGGCTCTCATTTTAAGATGTCCCCCCCCACATCACCTCCCCCAACCCTCTTGTTCAGCAGAGAAGATAGTTTCTCTGCAGCAACGCATCGTGGTCTCTGACAACCAAACCCCCTCTGTGCACATGATGGGGAGCGGAAATTAACCAACGGTACAAAGAGTGGGAAGTGTTCTCTCATCCCAGCGATGCTCCTTCTTGTCTCAATGTGGCTAAAATCTCGCTCTTGTCCACGTTTCACTCTATAATGTACGTTTACCGGGATCCTTCCTGAATGTCATCCATTAAGGTGGAGTCCTGTAGCTCGGTGGGTAGCGCACTCGCCCGCAAGTGAGAGAACCTGGGTTCGATTCCCAGCAGGGAAAAATGTTGGGCAAGTTTCCTTACTCCACACACACGCGCGCACCTCTGCTTACCTTGCAGTTAGTAGGAACCTGCTTGTTAGTCGATTGGCCGAAGGCTTTTTCCGGGATAATAATTCCTTCAAAAAAATAATAACGCTAATAATAAATTGGTCGCTCAATCCACGACTGTTTGTGGGGACGCTGCTGTGCGCAATTGGCTGCCGCGTTTCGCCCACACAATATACGATCAATTCAATTTATAGTATATTCTGTGCAGCGCTTTGAGACGTCTCGAAGACGTGATAAGGCGCTGTATCAAATGCAATTATTATTAAGGAGGTGCAGATGGTGGTGCGGGTGTTGTGGATTGACGCTGGGTTGTTTTTAAGGTTAAAACAAGAGTTTCGACCAGCGAAGGGGACTTTCCTTGTTAGGCTTTGTGTGTATCAGTGTGCGAACATGTGCGTCAGACGACGCAATACTTCAGCCTTTACTCTCCGCATGTGGAACCTCCGAAAATTAGTTGCTGGAGTCTAGTTCAATTGAGAGGGGACCTGGTAGAGATGTTTTAAAAGTATAAAAGGATTTGATAAGGTGGACATTGAATAATAAGCTGTGTCTCCTTGATGATGAGTCCAAAACGAGAGGCGGTAAAGCATAAGATAGTCAGCGGCAGATCGCGTGGGGAGTTTAGGAGGAAATCCTCCACGCAGAGGGTGGTGAGAGTGTGGAGCTCGCTGCAGGAACGTGCGATTGAGCAAAAGCATCAATGTAATTTAGAGAAAGTGGTGGATACACGTGGGAGAAGGGAGTAGAGGGGAATAGGTGAGGGGAGCAGGAGGGACAGAGGCTTGTGTGGAGTATCGACACCAACGTAGACTCTTTGGGCTGAATGGCCTGTTTGCGTGCAACATCGCTCTGCGTAACTCTGAGTAATTGAGGAGCAGGGTCCAGGATTGAGACCAGATCGTGAACGAGAGAGAGAGAGAGAGAGAGAGAGCGAGAGAGAGAGCTAGGAGAACGTTCAAGTGATCTGATACAGCAATGACCGCATGAGGGAGCCATGAGGGAGTCAACCTCTGCTAAGGAACTTCCGGGCAGGTGGAGGAGGTTCGCGCTGACGACATTGAGCAGTCGCAAGCGAGGGAGGTGCCCAAACAGTTGTGGTCGTGCAGTCTGTGTGCGTGTACGTGCCTGCTTCTCGCTGTGCTTATCCGCTTTTTGTGCCCATTTCCTTACAGCGTCGCCTGCACACACGGAGAACTCTCTCGATGTTCTTTGTAAGTAAATCTCCGCTTCTGTCCTCCAGCAAAAGAACACCCCACAAGTTTGACTGTTTTGCATTTGCCTTTCTCTTTTACGCTCTCTTTTGCCCTTTGTATTTGTGCTGTTAAGAAGCATCGGTTGCCACCTTTACCCCTACCCCCACCCTCCTCCCCCCACCCCCCCACCGCCCGAACGGTGAGTTGGATCTCACAAAGTTCCTGGCCTTTGCTCGGAACCCTGGAATCTATAGCGCAGAAAGAGGCCATTCAGCCCATCGAGACCTCAACCACCGCAGAAAGTGATCACAATAGACACTTCCTGATTCCCCCAACTCCTGCCAGACAGAGACGCCGTGGCAAAGCCGAGCCAGTCTGTAGTTGCCCACTTGGTGGCAGTCTAATTCCAGATATGGGTTGTAGTTTACACATCAGTGGGGGGGGGGGCAGTCAATATCCTGGGGCCGGAGGCACGATCCTACATTTTAAGGACAACAAGGCAGTCAAGGAGTTGACTGACCGTTAGCAAATAGCTGGTCACACCACAGAGGGTTACGGTAAATCCTGTGGAAGCGCTTGGAGACATCATCCTGACGTGAAAGGCGCCGTATCACATACAAGAATTATTATTTTACTATTCGTGGAGTCCTGTAACATAATGGTTAGCGCCCACGCCTCGCAAGCGAGAGGACCTGGGTACGATTTCCGGGGCAGGGCGAAACCCTAGGCACGTTTCCTTACTCCACACACCTCTGTTCACGTAGCAGTAAGTAGGAACCTGGTTGTTAGTCGATTGGCGGAGCGCTTTCCTGGGCTAATAATACACCCAAATAATAATTTGGTCAGTCAATCCACTCGTGGGGACGCTGCTGTGCGCAATTGGCTGCCCACAAAATACACAGCCCATTCACCTTACAGCGTATTCTGTGAAGCGCTTTGAGACGTCTCAAAGAGGTGACGTCTCAAATAAGGTGATATTAATAATACTAATATAATAATAACCCTTGCATTTGATACAGCGCCTTATCACGCCTTATTATTATTATTACTATTATTACTAGCTGCCGGTGTGGTTACACGAACCGCAAGTTCAGACTCCTTCCCTTCCTGTTTTAGCCGATGAAAGCCCAACACGAGTTTGAAGCCCGTCAGGAGAGGGAGGAGGACAACAGTCCCGAGCCGGTGTACGAGGAGGTGCAGGACATCAACGTCACGCTGTCGAGGCAGCAGGAGGTGGCGCTGCCGGGCGCTGCGCCAGGGCCTCAGGTGAAGAAGTTCTCCCTCAGCAACGCAAGTAACCAGAACAAGCTGCTGCAGGAGCTGGCCAGTGCCATCCAGAGAAAAAATGACCCACAGCAAGACAGCACCAAGTTATAGTGTCAAACCCGCTCGCCACCAGCATGCGGCGCTGTCCAGCTATGAGACTTGCTTAACCCTGCGAGCCGAGGCCCTAACGGGTTGGGGCGGTGGTCCCAGCTGGACAAGCAACAGCAACAACAGCTCGCGTTTACATCGGCCACTTCACGCCGGAGCGCTTAACAGTAACAGTCTGACCTCGAAGCAGCGGGAAAGCTCACCGCACAGCGATAGCAATGGCGAGCCCTGCGGTTTTAGCTGGTCAGACTCCAGCAGTTAACCCAACGCACCCGCGCTCCGGGCTCTCCCTCATGCCTCGGCTCTTGCCAACCTAATGCGCCTAATGCTTTACGGAACTGAGTAAGCAGGATGCATCCCTCCAGGGAAGGGGAGACAGAGAGAGAGAGACAGAGAGAGAGAGAGAGAGAGCACATTCCATTCCAATAATCTATCCCCGAGATCTCCACGTGTAGTTGGGATGTGTGGAGCTCTCAGCTTGGGCCGGAGGACACCCCAAAGCACTTTCACAGGATTTACAGTACGGTGCGGTGAACGTGTGTTCTGTGGGCGAACGCGACAGCCAACTTGCACACAGCAGTGACCCCACAAACAGCCATGAAGCGAGTGACCAATTTTATTCGGGGGATTGTTGGTCAGAACACTGAGAGGAACTCCCTTCTCTTTTCGAATAGCGCCATTTAGTTTTTTAACATCTCAACCAAAAGGCAGTATCTTCCGACAATGCAGCCCCCGTGCACCCACCCGTCCCCGCAAACCGCCCCCAACCCCCCCCCCCACCCCCCCATCACTGCACTGTAGCATCACCCTAGACTTATGGCAGTTCAAAGGCCCGAAGTAAGAAAATTTCAATGGGTCTTCAGCACTGCCTTAATTTCAAAGCTGTTTTTATTCCTGTTGGTTTCTTTCCCAAGAGCTACAGAAAAAAATAGTTTCTAAGTCAGGACTGAATTCAGCAATTCTCCCAATGCTTGATATCTTGAAATGTTCTGAAGCGCTGTAGCTCAGTGGTTAGAGCGTTCGCCTTGCAAGCAAGAGGACCTGGGTTTGATTCCTGAGTAGGGTGAAACCTTAGGTAAGTTACCTTTCTCCCTCCGCCTCTGCTTACCAACAGTAAGTAGTAACCCGGTTGTTAGTCGATTGACAGATCGCTTTTCTGGGGATAATAATCCCTGAAAAAAAAATGGTCAATCATTCCACGACTGTTTAATGGACACTAATGTGCGCAATTGGCTGCCGCGTTGTGCCCACAAAATACAGTATATTCTGTGAAGCATTGTGAGACATCTCAAGACGTGATAAAGGACTATATCCAATGCAAGGATTATTATTATTAAATGCTACATAAGGAATTTAACCCCATAAGTTTTTAAAACCTGTAAAATATGTCTGAGTGTGTATATATGTATGTAAATATTTCCATATATATTTGTCATATTAGATGTGTCGACACCTGCAATTTGTAAAAGTAGAGTATTCATGTGAACAAAAAAAATAGCGTTTATACATGGAACATAAAAACGCCTTCTCATAAAGTATTCCAGTTAATTTTTTTAAAATTGTGTGTAAAGTTCATCGACAGTAGGAATTTTCAACCTTCTTCCCTCCAAATGCTATGAGTGGTTTATTATTATTATTCCTTGTAAATACTGTACAGGAACTTTGTTTTATTATTCTAAATGTGAGCAATCAATGTTGCTGCTGGTGTCGTTCTCTGGACTCTCCATAAGATGTTGGGAAACTCATCTGAAGAAAGAGTAAAGAGTTTCTGAGGCGAGGGGGCATGGGGGGGTGGGGTGAGGCGTTTCAAATAAGTTGGTTGTTTTTTGCAATGCTCTTGTTAAATTAACCATTCTTTTACCGTACAATAAATCATTTGGAATATATGATCCTTACCTTGGATCCTTGGATTTGATTCTGGGCCTTTAACATCGGAGGACGTCTCAAAGCGCTTCAGAGGGTTTTACTTTTGTATTTTGTAAGCGCGAACACGGCAGGCAGTTTGCAAAGAGCAACAGCCGGCAAGCGAGTGAGTTATTTGACACAAACAGCAACTTCCGCCAACGACCCGACTCGAGCCAGTGAGGCCCACGGTTGACCATTATTCTATAAGGTGGATGTATGTCAAACTGTTTCAATCACTTCAAAACAGCGCTATTTAAATCCTCAGAGACGAGGCCTCAATGGTGAACCAGTGAATATCATATAGAAAGCGAGCTGTAAAGGGAACGTCCCCCGAAACCAGCCGCAACCTCTAACACAAACACAGGAAACCGCAAATTGTTCAGAACAGAAACCAGTGAAGACGAACAAATGGAAGGCACAAAAGATCTCCAGAACGATTCAATCAGGAAACGTCACTGAACTGAACTGCTTTGATCTCACCACTGAACAATGGCTCCAGTCAGTCGACCGAGTAACATTCGACATGTTTCACCACTGTTAAGTGCTCGCTCCGAGAACCCACCTGCGTGAAGGGCGCTACATAAATGTAAGTTGCTGTTACGTAGCAGCAGATCAAATAAGCTTAGGAAGAACTTCTAACAAACAATGCGGCGAGAATGTGAGAAACAGTTGCCGGAAGCTGTGGTTTAAGCTATGATTAAAGCCAAGAGGGGTAATAGAGAGGGGGGCAAGAGGGGTGGGACATCGTAGGGAATATAGACACTAGTTACGGGCTAGTTGGGCAGAACGGCCTGTTTCTGTAACATATAAATCTCTGTAACTGGGCATAAACAATTATAATAAATGATAATAATCCTTGCATTTGATATAGCAAAGCATCAAAGCACTTCACAGGATATGTGGCAATTGGTCTGATGGTGTGTTTTGTGGGCAAAATCGACAGCCAATTTGCACACAGCAACAGGAGAAAAGGACAGATATATATATTTAATTATGGACACAGCAATAATAACAATAGTAATAATCTTTACATGATGAGCTGTTTAACCTTGTACTGAACAGTAGAACCAGAGGGCATGGCCTGCGATTGAAGGGGCATCGATTTAGAACAAATCAGCAGAAGCACTATTTCAGTGAGCGAGTGGTAATCTGATGGAACAGGCTCGCGAGGGAGACGCTGAAAGCAGAAAGAGTCGATTCCTTCAAGAACAAATTAGATCGATTTTTGTGAGGAAATAATATCTGGGGATACAGTATACAGTTTGGGAGGACATGTGCAAGCGACTGCCAGGATGGTGGAAGGTGAATTGGATGGACTTTGGTCTTCTTTCGCCCAGCAAATTCCTATATTTTTATGTTCTTACATTTAATGCAATGGCTTTCACATTGGGAGGACGTCTCAAGTGCTTCACAGGATTTACTGTACCCTTTTGTGTAGGGGGGAAGCGTAGAGTGTGAGCTGAGATGTAGAATGTAATGAGATATATGAGATAGAATGTAATTGAGTTTCTTGCTCCCAGCGTGACAGGAAGAGGGTTGCCATGTATTTGCTGTGTTAGCTCCAGCTTCAAGCTTGCCTTGAGTATGGTCTCTCCACAGATGGACACTGCCACATCAGTTGAATGCACTCCAGTCAGTCTTTTAGGTCAACCGTGCATTGACTGAGACATATGTGGAATCAGAAGAGTCAGCAAACATCTTACAAAGAGAGCTTAGTAAGGCATACACTTGGGCTGGTAACTGGCAAATTAAGTTTAATACAGTTGAGCGCAAACTACTCTACATAGACAGCAAGAATAGGAAACACAAGCTCTCCTTGGATGGGAGAAAACTCACCAAGGAGGAAACCGAAAGAGTTGACTCATTGCTCTCTGTGTGAAAACAATGTGAGACAACATTAAACAAAAAGGCAAAAACAAGGATGCTGGGCTACTGCTAAATCAGTTGTGTTGAGTGGCCGAGATGTCATACTTGTAGGACCTGCCCTAACCTAACCCTAAGTCCAAAGAAGGAAGAACATGGTCCCAGTGCCAGAGGAATGAGCCATGAGCATAGCAGTGTTGAGACATGTCATAGAGGACCTGATAGAGGTGTGTAACATTTCAAATGGGATTGAAAAAGGAAACCAAGATCAATACTTTAAGATGCACCAACGCAGCAGAACAAGACGACGCTGGTTTGGAGTTGCGAAGGGGCAATTTCAGAACAGACACCCGGAAGTGTTTCTATTCTTCGAGGGTAATCGATAACTGGCCCAGAGTTGCCTTGAAGGTTGGTTGGGGCCAGGAATCTGAGACTCATTTGAAATATCAACTGGATTTTGTGATGGGATGGGACACTAGGTTGAGTATCCTGGAGGGATGAGATCAGATGTGCTAAAGGACCTTCTTCATCCATCTTTATTCTCTAGCGTGGTGGTTAGAGCACTTGCCTCACAAGAGAGAGAGGACCCAGGTTCGATTCCCGGGCAGGTCTAAACCTTAACCAAATTTCTTTACTCCACACACACGTCTCTGTTTACCTAACAGTAAACAGGACACCCGATTGTTAGTTGATTGGTGGATCGCTTTTCCGGAGGTAATAATCCCTTCAAAGAAAATTATGATAATAAATTGGTCACCCGATCCACGAGTGTTTGTGAGACACTGCTCTGCACAATCGGCTGCCATCTTCCGCCCACAAAATATACAGTTACTACACTTTACAGTATATCCTGTGAAGTGTTTTGAGACGTTTCAATATGGCCCTACTGTACAATTGCAAGGATTATTATTAATAATACTAATATAATAATAAGCAGCACCTTTTATATATCGGAACATCCCAAAGTACTTCCCAAGATTTACCGCAAAGTGTAGTGACTGTGTGTTGGTAGGCGAGCAAAGGCGCACAGTGTAGACCCCAAAACAGCCACGAAACCGATAATCAATTTGATTTGTGGGATTGTAAACCCCTGGAATACCACAACAGCAGTGCGAGGTGAGAGACAGAAGTTTGAGGGTGTTTTATTTGCGACTGAGAAACTCTCAATTCTCTTCTTTGTACAGTGTAGAAAAGCCATAGCTACGCAGTCAGGCTCACTGTGACTGGAGATCTTCTCTCTGTTCCTTGTGTGCGCTCAGCGAGGCCAAGTCCTGCTTCTCCTTTAACTTGGCCCTTCCTCAAACCCTGTGGTGAGATGGGGGCACCTTGTAGCGAGGGGGATCTCTGAATCACTGGCCACACACAGCGACCTTGGGCTTGAACCCACAACCCTCTGACTCGGAGGCCAGAGTGCTACCAGCTGAGCCGGGCTGACACCTCTTACCATCAGTGTAGGAGATCGGGCTTCCACCTTTGCGTTCCACAGGCTGTTCCCTTCCCTGGACATTCTGCTCCCGTTCAGATTATTCTCTGTGTAACCGCCGTTTGGCTTTCGGTGTATTGATACACCAGTTTCGTTAAATGATCAATAAAGCTTTTTTTACAACCTGATCGCATATCTGCTAACTTTCGCTCAGAGCACACACAGAGATAAGATCAGACACGACACGTCACAACTTTCCTCCTTTCAGAAGCTCTGACATGAGCAGACCCGGGAAATCATCGCATTTGATACAGCCCCGTATCATGTTGTTGAGACGTCTCAAAGCGCTCGACAGGGTACACTGTAACATGGAGTGACTGTGTAGAAGATGCCGTCATACAGATTTCTTCCTGTTTCAACTCAACGACACACTGCAACCAGTTTCAACACCTAACTCTAAGCTGCCGCACTTCTGCTGGCACAGAATGGGCTGTGGGGCTGAGGCGAGAGTGAATGCTATTTTAACCTGTGAGGTTCCACATTTTCCCCAAGTTCCCCGTAAGCAACAGAAGTGAATCCAGGAAACCTGCGTCATTGTGACACGTTGTACAGCGCAGTGTACATTCGTCAAAGGTAGAGACATTGAGAGAGTCGGGGAGAGATATTGAGCGGAGACGCTCTTGGTCAAAATGCTGGGTGCTCTGGCGTTCAGTTTCCTTGTGGTTCTGCTGCCCTGTGTTTGCCCACAAGGTAAGTGTCTTTCTCTCACCGTCGCAGTCCTGTTTGGTAGAAAGTGTCAGTCAGGTTCAGAAGGAGCTAAAGTCGAGGGGTGGGATCTTGTGAGGTGGGTCCTGTGGGCTGATCGCTGGTACAGTCACTCCTGATCACTGAGTTTGCTGTTCAGGTGTTATTCTCGTTAATATAATGGATTGCGACACCCTGGTTTCTCCAGTGTTTTGTACCCAGCGGGTGGAAGCTTTGCTGTTCAATGACAAGATACTCAAGAACAGGAAACGGACCAAATGTTTCCAACTAAAACAATCTTAGTCGGTTTTCTTGCCGGTTTTCGAAGGGCAGGTTGTCCCGGGATTGTAAACCGTTGGCAGAGAATTTTCCACAAACCCTGATGATGGCCGACACTCTGAGCACCGACTGACTCTGTCCTTTTAATTTGTGCTGCGGTCAAATCTCAATATCTTTCTCCATCTCTGTGCCTCACTTCCTGTCTCTATTATTGGTAGCGTTACTGACTTTCCTTCACTCGCACCAAATACATCCCCTTTTTAAGTTTTGAAATGGAGGATTTTGTAAATAAATTTGTGACTTCGTTAAATCGTCAACTTCTGTGAACACCTCACACGGTGGGGAAAGAGGACACGAGCTTTGTTAGGACAAGTGAGGCACATCTGGAAACTTTTAGCTTTCAGTCACTGTGCCCCGAAGGTTTGGAACCCTCTTCCTCAATCCGAACACCTTGGCCCTTACTTCCTCTCTTTTAGAAAATGTCTGAAGTGCTTCCTCTCCGACCGTGCTTAAATTCCCTCCTCCCTCACTCCATCTCGGATTCAGGATTTGCCATGTTAAGCTCTGTCGAAGTAGTGACTAGCTGGTCATTAGACATATGGTGAACTTATACTTGTGACCGTGTCCATCTCCATTAACTGCTGCTTACAGTCAAGTGCATTAATGGCAACAGAAAGTCAGGATGGTATTTAAGATTGCACAGAAAGGAAAAATAATATCATTTGGCACCAAAACAACTTGCAAAGTGAGGCGAGGCCTATCTATGTTGGTGTGAGGTCATAACCCGACATGGATGATGACAGGACAGGAGACGCTAAAGGAATGGAAAATAAGAACACGTCAGAAAAGGGCAGAGTTGATAATTATTTTCTCCTGTGATATGCAGTTATTTCATGTTTTGTATACATTGTCTTTTTCTCTTCGCAGGAAGTACAAATCGTACTTATTTTTTAGATAAAGATGGCAGCTTCAAGATGATTGGATTAGAGGTCCAGGGAAACGGGCCAGTTGCGTGGAGGTGGAAACCTCATTCTGAGGAAAACACTGAGAAAACCCTGGTGACTTTCACTCGAAGGGATCAGTGGTGGGAAGCAAACTGGGGCCAAACATACTACAGTGACTTTTATAGTACAGATAAGCGTGACTATATGATAAAAAACGAATCTGACAGCCCTAGTTTGATATTTTCTTCCCTCAAATATAAACTTGCAGGATTGTTTCTGCTCACACAGCCCGAGAATAATCACACCTTGTATCAGCACGAAGTTTTTGGAGTCAAAGGTGAGTCTAACCAGCGAGAGTAAAGGTACAACAACTGTATTTTTCTACTGTGGCTGCGAGTGAGTGAATACACAGAGCACCCGACACATCAGACCTCAATGTTCACGATTAAACCTTAAAGCGGGTCTGGAGAATTGTTCCCTTTCCCACAGAGCAGTGAACGTGGGTAACAGATTCCCAGTAAATCACACGGCACTGGCTCATTTACCCCTCCCAAGGGGAACTGGATAAGCTTCTGCCAGAGGAAAGGATTGGAGGCCACAGATAGGGTACGAGACATCGATCGTGAGGGAGGTCTGAGCGGGTTTAGCTGGTGAAGCTCCAGCAGGACCCAATCAACACTCTGGAGTTCGTAAGACTTAGCTCTTGTCACCCTGCACCAAACCTCACCAGAAATAAGAATCACAGTGTGTCCCTCCAGGGAGAGGGGCACATCGCATTCCAACTACGGGGAAATCTCTATGTAAGTAGCATAGTTTTGGGGATAAAATAATATTTCTCCCACAAAATATAGTCAATTCACATGACAGTGCATTCTGAGATGCCTTTGAAACGTCTCAATGACGTGATCAAGTGCAATATCAAATGCCAGGATTATTTATGGTTATATATATAGGATGGTTTGAACAGTGTCAGACACGGTGATGGGTTTCTGTGTGAGTCAGACTCCCGGCAAACCCCAAAAATAAAACTTGTTTGCAGAAATCAAACTGAAATTGAGAGCAGGAGCTAATGGTCATGTAGAGTGAAAACCGTGATCCATCCAATGTTTGTGGCTTTTGTTCACAGTTGAAAAGGAGCGATATCCTGTTTACTCAGACAATGATGTCACACTGAGCTGCAGCATCTCCAGACTCCCACATGGCGTCAGTCTTCAGTGGAAACACAGAGAGTCCACACAGCACAACAGCGGGAACAGCACAGAGCAGCTCCTGATCAACAACACACTGTATCTGATAGTCAGACACGTTAGAGAGGACGACAAACAGAAATATATGTGTGAAGTGCAGGACAATGGCTCCACTGTTCTCACGGGGAACATGGATTTTGAGGTCTACACATGTAAGTCTAAACCTCTGTGTGACGAGATATTGTACTAGATATTGACATTTCCTAGCGTAAAACAGTTAAACAACGTTAAAAAACTCACACCCTCTTTTTTATTTTGCAGATGAGTATGTTACACAAAGACTTTATCGGTCAAGCACAAATCGCAGTGAACTGCACCTAATTTGCAAATATAATTATCCTGGAAATGAAGTTAAATTTTCCTGGAGGTGGAAATCAGTTCATTCTCAATATCCAGAAACCCAAATAGCTTCTGGTCGTAAAGGTCAGAGTATAAACATAAACAGGACGCACTTTGGGGAGAGATTGAAACCAGCTACTACACTCTTCAACGGTAAAGACTTTACGATGCACATTGTCCCGGTGATGTTTGAAGATGCAGGAACCTACACGTGCTTTGTTGGTACAATTTTGTATGTGACTGTGGAGCTAATAACAGTGAAAGGTATGAGCCAGACCCTGACAGTGGTTTCGATGGTAGTGCCCTGGTTTAGGATCTGACTCATGTTCTTCTTCCCACAGTCACAGTTGACACAGGGACTGGCGGAGCGAGTAGTAACCTGACCTGTTCCGTCTCTGAAGTCACTGAGACAGTCAGACTGGTCTGGATGGGAAATGACAGCAAAACATTCATTACAGAAAAAACACTGAAGGTAGAGAGTCAGGAAGAGAAATCATTGAGCCTGAGTGTTCAGGGAGCTGATAGGGGGACCTGGACGTGTGTTCTGTTTCATCAAAACAGCCCCAGGGTCGTAATCCCCTATTATCTGGAGCCCAGTGGTGAGTGTTTCTGTTTCACACACATCACAACCAACAGCTTTATACTCGTGGACCTCGACAAGCAGAGAGCCGTGTAATCAATACCAATAATAATCCTTACGTTTGCTGCAGCGCTTTTTAATATATCAGGAAAACGTCTCAAAGCGCGTTCTTCCCAAGATTTACCGTGAAGCGTAGTGACTGTGTGTTGGTAGGCGAGCAAAGGCGCACAGTGTAGACCCCCAAACAGCCATGAAACCGATAAACAATTTGATTTGTGGGATTGTTGGACTGGACACCGGGGGGAAACCCCTGGAATACCAATTACAGTGCAAGGTGAGAGATAGAAGTTTGATGGGTTTTTATTGCCACTGAGAAACTCTCAATTCTTCTCTTTGTACAGTGTAGAAAAGCCATAACTACACAGTCAGCTCACTGTCACCCTGGAGATCTTCTCTATGCTCCTTGGGAGTGCTCCGCGAGACCAAGCATCTCATTATAGGTGAACTGACCAATTTTCTTGCTTGGGCACCGATTGCCCATTCCCTGTTGGGGCACAACCTGGGTTAGATACATAGCAAAGGCAACTCTGCTCCTGCCCCTACCATGTCTCTGGCCAACAACCCTCCAGGATAATTGTTCCTTCACCTCATTGTCGCTTGTGGGATCTTACTGGTGGGAATGACGACCTTGAGAAGCGTATCCCGGGACTTGACAGGAATTTGAGGCGTTTTGAACTCAGAAGGTGCTTCAACAAAGCTTGTTCCTTCTTAACCTGTTGTCGCCTACCCTTGTGTGAGCACCTCCCGCTTCTCCCTTTAACTCCTCCCTTCCTCAAACCCACAGAGTCTCTCCAGAAAAGGGAGACGCCTTTGTCCCATTGCTCAGTTTTGTGTCGGGTGAAACTTCACGAGTTGAGAAGCAAATGTGATAGAGCATCGAGTGGTTTGGTAGCTTTTCTGTGTTATAATCTATAACTCAAGTAGTGACCCGCCTCTGCCTGAAATTTCCTATAGACCTCTTGAAAAGGAAATCAGAAGCCCCTCCGGAGAAGATTCTTTACATCACAGTTTTTAGCTGTTTACTGGCGAAGCTGTGTGTGCTTATTGGATTCGTTGAGCATTTGTGCAGACAGAACAGGTAAAGTAAACACGATTGTCATGACTTTAATGAGCCGGGTAATCTTTCCTTGTCATTTCGTTTGCAATGATAATAATAATCATAACAATAATTCTTGGTTTGATACCACCTAATCAGGTTGTTGTGACGTATCAAATAAAATTGATGTGCACCACTCCACACAATTGTATTTTTAATAGTAATTCGATAGAGTGCTTCATCATGTCACGTCTCAAGATGCTTCACTGGATTTACCTTAAGTGCAGTGACTGTCAATAAAATACATAGTAATTGGAAATGCGTTCAGGTTGTTCCATCCGGTTAATTCCCCATCTGGTTACTTTGTGCCCAAACCTTCCATTTATTCACTGTTTTCAATCCACGATTAAACTATTGGAGGTATGACGGCCCCATACAACATGTTGCTCTCTCTGTGTGTCTCTATCTTTCTGTTGTCAGGCGCCAAAGAGCAGTAACTCGGGTGAGACAATAGGAGGGATACCAGAGGCTGAGTGAAGATCATGTTCCAGGCTCCCAACCCTGGCCCTGCTCTGAAGATGGCATCTCTCAAGCCTGGATCAGTCCAGTCGGGAATCTTTCCAAATAGATCGCAGTTTTCCTGCTCCCCTTCCGGTCGGAGTTTTGCAAATCCTTTCCCCTGCGTTCATCCGTTTTCGCTCTCGAGCCCCGAGGTGGGTGTCTCCCCCGTTATTATTCCAAGTGACGGACACCCTGTGGTGAGATGGGGGCACCCTGTAGCGAGGGGGATCTCTGAATCACTGGCCACACAGCGACATTGGGCTTGAACCCACAACCCTCTGACTCGGAGGCCAGAGTGCTACCAGCTGAGCCGGGCTGACACCTCTTACCATCAGTGTAGGAGATCGGGCTTCCACCTTTGCGTTCCACAGGCTGTTCCCTTCCCTGGACATTCTGCTCCCGTTCAGATTATTCTCTGTGTAACCGCCGTTTGGCTTTCGGTGTATTAATACACCAGTTTCGCTAAATGATCAATAAAGCTTTTTTTACAACCTGATCGCATATCTGCTAACTTTCGTTCAGAGCACACACAGAGATAAGATCAGACACGACACGTCACAACTTTCCTCCTTTCAGAAGCTCTGACATGAGCAGACCCGGGAAATCATCGCATTTGATACCATTTCTCTTGGAGAGAACCTCCGCCGAGTTTCCACAATCCACCCAAGGAGGAAAAATTCTTTCTTTCGCTTCACGGCTGATTTCGGGAACTCGCTGCCTGCAAATTGGCCGCTGCCTTTCCCATTAAATACACTTCTCTGCAACATCCTGCCATATGTTTCGAGATGTGGCAGCAATGTTAAGCGCGAGGGTTATTTCACAGCGTCAGCCTGGCTCAGTGGTAGCGCTCTCGCCTCTGAGTCATAATGCTGTGGGCTGTGGGTATCATGTTGTTGAGACGTCTCAAAGTGCTCGACAGAGTACACTGTAACGTGGAGTGACTGTGTGTTTTTGAGCTCAAAATGCGGGGGAGCGAGAGTTCAATTTTACTGGGGGGAGATTGTTGGCCAGGACACCTGGAGAGACACCGGAGGCGAGAGTGCTACCACTGAGCCAGGCCGACGCTGTGAAATAACCCTCGCGCTTAACTTTGCGACCACAATGACACACATCTCAAAGCACTCGGCAGGATGTTGCAGAGAAGCAACGGGAAAGGCAGCGGCCAATTTGCAGGCAGCGAGTTCCCCAAATCAGCCGTGAAGCGAAAGAAAGAATTTTTCCTCCTTGGGTGGATTGTGGAAACTCGGCGGAGATTCTCTCCAAGAGAAATTGTGGGCACAGTCGTGTGTAGAAACTGCTGTTGTACAGATATCTTCCAGTTTCAACTGAACGACACATTGCAGACAGTTTCAACACCTAACGCTAAGCTGCCGCACTTCTGCTGGTACAGAGTGGGCTGTGGGGCTGAGGCGAGAGTGAATGCTATTTTAGCTGTGAGGTCAGCAACAGAAGTGAATCCAGGAAACCTGCGTCATTGTGACACATTGTACAGCGCAGTAAACATCTGCCAAACGCAGAGACATCGAGAGAGTTGGAGAGAGATATTGAGCGGAGACGCTCTTGGTCAAAATGCTGGGTGCTCTGGCGTTCAGCTTCCTTGTGGTTCTGCTGCCCTGTGTTTGCCCACAAGGTAAGTGTCTGTCTCTAACCATCGCAGTCCTGTTTGGTAGAAAGTATCAGTCAGGTTCAGAAGGAGCTAAAGTCGAGGGGTGGGATCTTGTGAGGTGGGTCCTGTGGGCTGATCGCTGGTACAATCACTCCTGATCACTGATTTTTTCTTGTTCAGGGGTTATTCCCGTTAATATAATGGATTGCGACACCCTGGTTTCTCCAGTGTTTTGTACCCAGCGGGTGGAAGCTTTGCTGTTCAATGACAAGCAATTCAAGAACAGGAAACGGACCAAATGTTTCCAACTAAAACAATCTTAGTCGGTTTTCTTGCCGGTTTTCGAAGGCAGGTTGTCCCGGGATTGTAAACCGGTGGCGTAGAATTCTCCACAACCCCTGACGATGGCCGACACTCTGAGCACCGACTGACTCTGTCCTTTTAATTTGTGCATCGTCAAACCTCGAGTTCTTTCTCCATGTCTGTGCCTCACTTCCTGTCTCTATTGTTGGCAGCGTTACTGACTTTCTTTCACTCGCACCAAATATATCCTCTTTTTAAGTTTTTAAATGGAGGATTTTGGAAATAAATTTGTGACTTTGTTAAAACGTCAACTTCTGTGAACACCTCACACAGTGGGGAAAAGAGGACACGAGCTTTGTTAGGACAAGTGAGGCACATCTGGATGCTTTTAATTTTCAGCCACTGTGCCCTGAAGGATTGGAACTCTCTACTTCCTCTCTTTTAAATCATTACTGAAGACTCTTTTTTCCAAACGTGCTTAGGTTTTCTCCTCCCTCCCTCCGTCTCAGAGTCAGGATTCACCATTGTTAAGCCCTGTGAGAAGCTTCCCCAATGTGAAAGGCGCTATATAAGTACAAGTATAATGTAGAAGCTTCCTTCTCTGCTAAACATGGTGCCTCAGTGAGCCAGTGTGACACTCAGTTAGCACTGCATTGTCACAGTTGACGTGCTTCAAAGGAGACATTAAACCAATATCTCTTCTGCCACAAGAGTCCCTGTTTAACCAAGCCAAGGAGGGTAGTGACTAGCTGGTCATTAAACGTACGATGAACTTGTACCTGTGACCGTGTCCGTCTCCATTAACTGCTGCTTAAAGTCAAGTGCATTAATGACAACAGACAGTCAGGATGATATTTAAGATTGCACAGAAAGGAAAAATAATATTACTTGGCAAAACAACCTGCAAAATGAGGCGAGGCCTGTCTATGTTGGTGTAGGTCATAACCAGACATGGATAACATGAGGACAGGAGGTGCTGAAGGAATGGAAATTAAGAACATGTCAGAAAAGGACAGAGATGATAATTATTTTCTCCTGTGATATGCAGTAATTTCATGTTTTGTATATATTGCCTTTATCTTTTCGCAGGAAATAGAAATCGAACTTATTTTTTAGATCGAAAAGGCAACTTCAAGTTGATTGGATCAGAGGTCCCGGGAAACGGACCTGTTGTGTGGAGATGGAAACCTCATTCTGAGGAAAACACTGAGATAACCCTGGTGACTTTCACTCGAAGGGATCAGCGGTGGGAAGTACGCCGGAGCAATATATACAACGATGTGTTTAACCAAATGATACAACAGGAAAGCAATATCTTAAGTGTGAAAGTTACAAATCTTAGATATGAATGTGCAGGATTGTTCCTGCTCACACAGCCCGAGGATAACAAAACTCTGAATCAGTACGAAGCTTTTGGAGTCAAAGGTGAGTCTAACGAGTGAGAGAATAACAAAAAAATTACATTTATAAATTGCCTTTCAGTCCCAAAGCGCTGAACAGTTGGGGATCAGGACAGAAAAGGTACAATAACAAATATTGTGGCTCCAAGTGAGTGAACACACAGAGCACCCAACTCATCAGACCTCACTGTTCACCACTAAAACTCAAAACGGATCTCGAGCGCAGGAGAATTGTTCCCTTTCCCACAGAGCAGTGAATGTGGGTAACAGACTCCCAGTACATCACGCGGCGATCGGTCAATTACGCATCCAAATGGAAACTGGATAAGTATCTGCTGGAGGAGAGGATTGGAGCCCACGGAGAGGGTAGGAGAGACCGATCGTGAGGAAGATCTGGGCAGGTTTAGCTGGTCAAACTCCAGCAATCAACACTCTGGAGTAAGATTTAGCTCTTGATACCTGCGTCCAAAATTCACCAGAATTAGGGATGGCAGTGTGTTCCTCCAGTGAGAGGGAGCACATTGCCTTCCAACTATGGGGGAAATCTCTATCTCGGTAGAATATAGAGTATGTTTTGTGGCTAAAAAAATGTTTCTCCCACAAAATATACAGTCAATTCACATGACAGTGTATTCTGAGATCTTGGAAATGTCTCAATGACATGATCAAGTGCAATATCAAATGCCAGGATTACTTATTGTTATATATATAGGATGGTTTGAATAGTGTCAGACACGGTGATGGGTTTCTGTGTGAGTCAGACTCCCGGCAAACCCCAAAAATAAAACTTGTTTGCAGAAATCAAACTGAAATTGAGAGCAGGAGCTAATGGTCATGTAGAGTGAAAACCGTGATCCATCCAATGTTTGTGGCTTTTGTTCACAGTTGAAAAGGAGGAACATTATGTTCACTCAGGCACTGATGTCACACTGAGCTGCAGCATCTCCAGACTCCCAGATGGCGTCAGTCTTCAGTGGAAACACAGAGAGTCCACACAGCACAACAGCGGGAACAGCACAGAGCAGCTCCTGATCAACAATACACTGTATCTGATAGTCAGACACGTTAGAGGGGACGGCAAACAGAAATATATGTGTGAAGTGCAGGACAATGGCTCCACTGTTCTCGCGGCTGACATGGATTTTGAGGTCAACACATGTAAGTCTAAACCTCTGTGTGACTGGATATTGTACGAGAGATACTGGATATTGACATTTGTTGGTGTAAAACAGTTAAACACTGTTAAAAAGTTAACACTCTCTTCATTTATTTTACAGATGAATTTGATAGATATACAATTTATCGGTCAAACACAAATCACAGTGAACTGCACCTAATTTGCAAATATAATTATCCTGGATATAAATTTACCTGGAAGTGGAAACCAGTTCATTCTTATGATCCAGAAACACAAATAGCTTCTGGTTATAAAGATCAGAATATAAACATAATCAGGACACACTTTGGAGAGAGATTGAGACCAGCTACTACGCTCTTCAATGGTAAAGACTTTACGATGCACATTGTCCCGGTGATGTTTGAAGATGCAGGAACCTACACGTGCGTTGCTGGTACACGTTCGTATGCGACTGTGAAGCTAATAACAGTGAAAGGTATGAGCCAGACCCTGACAGTGGTTTCAATGGTAATGCCCTGGTTTAGGATCTGACTCATGTTCTTCTTCCCACAGTCACAGTTGACACAGGGACTGGCGGAGCGAGTACTAACCTGATCTGCTCGGTCTCTGAAGTCACTGAGACAGTCAGACTGGTCTGGATGGGAAATGACAGCAAAACATTCATTACAGAAAAAACACTGAAGGCAGAGAGTCAGGAAGAGAAATCATTGAGCCTGAGTGTTCAGGGAGCTGATGGGGGGACCTGGACATGTGTTCTGTTTCATCAAAACAGCCCCAGGGTCGCAATCCCCTATTATCTGGAGCCCAGTGGTGAGTGTTTCTGTTTCACTTTATACAGGTGGAGCTCGACAAGCAGAGAGCCGTGTAATCAATGCCAATAATAATCCTTACGTTTGCTGCAGCGCTTTTTATACATCAGGAGGACGTCCCAAAGCGCTTCCCAAGATTTACCGTGAAGTGTAGTGACTGTGTGATGGTAGGGGGGCAAAGGCGCAGAGTTTCGACCCCAAAACACCATGATACCGATAACCAATTTGATTTGGGGGATTGTTGGCCAGAATACCGGGGGAAACTCTAGAATAGCACCGACAACAGTGAGAGGTGAGAGACAGAAATTTGACGATGGTTTTATTTGCTATCTCGAAACTCTAAAACTCTCCTCTTTGTGGTGTGTAGAAAAGACGTAACCACATAGTCAGGCTCACTGCCAGGCGGGAACATTTCCAAATAGATCTCGGCTTCCCTGTTGTCCTTCTGGTTGGAATTTTATCAATTCTTTCCACTGCGTTCATGCGTTTGCACACATGAGCTCTGAGGTGGGTGTCTCCCCAATTATTAATCCGCCTGCACTCATTTCACTGTCTGAAGATCAGGTGACTTCTGCTCACACAGAATGGGCTGTGGGGCTGAGTGAATGCTATTTTAGCCTGTGAGGTTCCCCATTTTCCCCGTTAGCAACAGAAATGTATCCGGGAAACCTGCGTCATTCTGACACCTTATGCAGCTCCGAGTACATCCGCCAAAGGCGGAGACATCCAGAGAATCGGAGAGAGATATTGAGCGGAGACGCTCTTGGTCAAAATGCTGGGTGCTCTGGCGTTCAGCTTCCTTGTGGTTCTGCTGCCCTGTGTTTGCCCACAAGGTAAGTGTCTGTCTCTAACCATCGCAGTCCTGTTTGGTAGAAAGTATCAGTCAGGTTCAGAAGGAGCTAAAGTCGAGGGCTGTGATCTTGTGAGGTGGGTCCTGTGGGCTGATCGCTGGTACAGTCACTCCTGATCACTGAGTTTGCTGTTCAGGTGTTATTCCCGTTAATATAATGGATTGCTACACCCTGGTTACTCCAGTGTTTTGTACCCAGCGGGTGGAAGCTTTGCTGTTCAATGACAAGCAACTCAAGAACAGGAAATGGACCAAATACATTAGAATATACAGCACAGAAACAGGTCGTTCGGCCCAACTGGTCTAAGCCGGTGTTTATGCTCCACATGAGCCTCCTCCTGTCGTTCCTCAACTAAGCCTTCAAGCAAAACCTTCTATTCCTTTCTCCCTCATGTACCTCTCCAGCTTCCCCTTAAATACATCTGTGCTATTTGCCCCAACAACTCCTTGCGATAGCATTATCAACATTCCCACTACTCTCTGTGTGAAGAAATTTCTTCTACCTTCCCTATTTGATATATTTGTGACTATTTTATATTGATGGCCCCTGGTTTTGGTCTTCCCCCACAAGTGGAAACATCTTCCCTATGTCCACCCTATCAAAACTTTTCATCGTTTTAAAGACCTCTATCAGGTCACCCCTTACCCTCCTCTTCTCAAGAGAAAAGAGTCTAAGTATATTCAGCCTTTCCTGATAGGTATAACCTCTCAGTTCTGGGACCATCCTTGTGAATCTCCTTTGCACCCTCTCCAGTGCCTCTACATCCCTTCTATAATGTGCGGACCAGAACTGCACACAGTATTCTAAGTCTGGTCCAACCAAAGTACTGTAGAAGTTTACTATAACTTCTCTGCTTTTCATTTCTATCCCTCTAGAGATAAACCCCAATGCCTGGTTTGCCTTTTTATGGCCTTATTAATCTGCGTTGCTACTTTTAGTGAATTGTGTATGTGTATACCCCTTGATCTCTTTCCTCCTCTACCCCATTTAGGTTTTATTTTCCAGGATGCATGAAAATAATTCGAACTGAAATAATTTTAATCGTTTTTCTTGCCGGCTTTCAAAGGGCAGGTTATCCCGGGACTGTAAACCGTTGGCGGAGAATTCTCCACAACCTCTGATGGGAGAGACTCTGAGCCCCGGCTGACTCTGTCCGTTTTAGTTGTGCTGCCACAGCTCAATATCTTTCTCCATCTCTGTGTCTCTCTTCCTGTCTCTATTGTTGGTAGCGTTACTGACATTCTTTCACTCGCACCAAATACATCGTCTTTTTAAATTTTGAAATGGAGGATTTTGTAAATAAATTTGTGATGTGTTAAAACGTCAACTTCTGTGAACACCTCACACAGTGGGGAAAAGAGGACACGAGCTTTGTTAGGACAAGTGAGGCACATCTGGATGCTTTTAGCTTTCAGCCACTGTGCCCCGAAGGATTGGAACTCTCTCCCTCAATCAGACCACCTTTTCCCCTACTTCCTCTCCGACCGTGCTTATGTTTCCTCCATCTCAGAGTCAGGAACCGTCATTATTAAGCTCTATGAGAAGCTGCAGCTGTGAAAGACGCTATATAAATGCAAGTACTTGTTGATCTAGAAGCTTGCTTCTCTGCTAAACACAGTGCCTGAGTGAGTCAGTGTGATATTCAGTTAGCACTGCATTATCACAGTTGACGTCCTTCAAAGGAGACATTAAACCAAGGTCTCTTCTGCCACAAGAGCCACTGTTTTACCTCCATACCAAGGAAGGTAGTGACTAGCTGGTCATTAGAAATATGATAAACTTGTACCTGTGACCATGTCCGTCTCCATTAATTGCTGCTTAAAGTCAAGTGCATTAATAATAATAATAATAATAATAATAATAATCCTTACATTTGATAAGGTGCTTTTCACATATTCCAGATGTCTCAAAGCGCTTCACAGAATATGCTGTAAAGTGAATTGACCGTATATTTGTGGGCGAAAGGCGCAGCCAATTACACACAGATGTGCCCAACAGTCGTAGATTGAAAATGACCGATTTATTATTGTTTTGTTTTGGAGAGGATTATTATTAGGCTCTGTGTGGAGTAAGGAAACTTGCCCAAGATTCACCCTACCCGGAATTGAACCCAGGTGACTCGCTTGCAAGGCGAGTCCTCTAACCACTGAGCTACAGGACTCCACATTAATGACATCAGAAAGTCGGGATAATATTTAAGATGACACAAAAAAAATATCATTTGGCACCAAAACAACTTGTAAAATGAGGCGAGGCCGGACTATGTTGGTGTTAGGTCATAACCAGACATGGACGATGACAGGACAGGAGGTGCTGAAGGAATGAAAAATAACAACACCTCAGAAAAGGACAGAGATGATAATTATTTTTCTCCTGTGACATGCAGTTATTTCATGTTTTGTATCTATTGTATTTTTCTTTTTGCAGGAAGTACAAATCGTACTTATTTTTTAGATCGAAAAGGCAACTTCAAGTTGATTGGATCAGACGTCCAGGGAAACGGACCAGTCATGTGGAGATGGAAACCTCATTCTGAGGAAAGCACTGACAAAACCCTGATGACTTTCACTCAAAAGAATCAGCAGTGGGAACTAAGCCGGAGCAATACATACGACGATGTGTGTTACTTAGAGATACAACAGGAAAGCAATACCTTTAATGTGCAAGTTACAAATCTTAGATATGAATGTGCGGGATGGTTCCTGCTCACACAGCCCGAGAACAATAAAACTCTGAATCAGTACGAAGCTGTTGGAGTCAAAGGTGAGTCTAACCAGCGAGAGAACAACAACTACAACAAAATGACATTTGTAAATTGCCTTTCAGTCCCGAAGCGAAGAACAGTTGGGGATCAGGACAGAAAAGGTGCAATAAAAATGTATTTCATATTGTGGCTCCGAGTGAGTGAACACACAGATTGCCCGACCCTTCAGACTTCATTGTTCACGACTAAAACACAAAGCGGGTCTGGAGATCAGGAGAATTGTTCCCTTTCCCACAGAGCAGTGAACGTGGGTAACAGACGCCCAGTAAATCACACGGCATTGGGTCAATTACACCTCCAAAAGAAATGGATAAGTATATGCTGGAGGAGATCTTTGGAGGCCGTGGAGAGAGTAGGAGACACCAATTGTGAGGAAGGTCAAGGCAGGTTTAGCTGGTGAAGCTCCAGAAGGACCCAATCAACACTCTGGAGTCCGTAAGACTTAGCTCTTGTCACCCTGCACCCAAAACCCACAGAATTAGGGATTACAGTGTATCCCTCCAGGGAGAGGGTGCACATTGCATTCCTACTGCAGGGAAAATCTCTATGTAGGTAGAATATGTATATATAGTATGTTTTGTGATTAAAAAAAGGCTTCTTCCACAAAATATACAGTCAATACACATGACAGTGTATTCTGAGATTCCTTTGAAACTGCTCAATGACATGATCAAATGCCAGGATTACTTATTGTTATATATATAGGATGGTTTGAATAGTGTCAGACACGGTGATGGGTTTCTGTGTGAGTCAGACTCCCGGCAAACCCCAAAAATAAAACTTGGTTGCAGAAATCAAACTGAAATTGAGAGCAGGAGCTAATGGTCATGTAGAGTGAAAACCGTGATCCATCCAATGTTTTTGGCTTTTGTTCACAGTTGAAAGGAACAGATATCCTGTTTACTCAGACAATGATGTCACCTGAGCTGCAGCATCTCCAGACTCCCAGATGGCGTCAGTCTTCAGTGGAAACACAGAGAGTCCACACAGCACAACAGCGGGAACAGCACAGAGCAGCTCCTGATGAACAACACACTGTATCTGATAGTCAGACACGTTAGAGGGGACGGCAAACAGAAATATATGTGTGAAGTGCAGGACAATGGCTCCACTGTTCTCACGGCTGACATGGATTTTGAGGTCTACACATGTAAGTCTAAACCTCTGTGTGACTGAATATTGTACGAGAGATACTGGATATTGACATTTGTTGGTGTAAAACAGTTAAACACTGTTAAAAACCTAACATTCTCTTCATTTATTTTACAGATAGTTATGTTAGATCTACAATTTATCGGTCAAACACAAATCACAGTGAACTGCACCTAATTTGCAAATTTAGTCAAACTGGAAATCAATTTACCTGGAGGTGGAAACCAGTTTATTCTGATTATCCAGAAATACAAATAGCTTCTGTTCATAAAGATCAGAATATAAAATAAACAGGACGCACTTTGGGGAGAGATTGAGACCAGCTACTACGCTCTTCAATGGTAAAGACTTTACGATGCACATTGTCCCGGTGATGTTTGAAGATGCAGGAACCTACACGTGCTTTGTTGGTACACTTTCGTATGCGACTGTGAAGCTAATAACAGTGAAAGGTATGAGCCAGACCCTGACAGTGGTTTCAATGGCAAAGCCCTGGTTTAGGATCTGACTCATGTTCTTCTTCCCACAGTCACAGTTGACACAGGGACTGGCGGAGTGAGTACTAACCTGATCTGTTCCGTCTCTGAAGTCACTGAGACAGTCAGACTGGTCTGGATGGGAAATGACAGCAAAACATTCATTACAGAAAAAACACTGAAGGCAGAGATTCAGGAAGAGAAATCATTGAGCCTGAGTGTTCAGGGAGCTGATGGGGGGACCTGGACATGTGTTCTGTTTCATCAAAACAGCCCCAGGGTCATAATCCCCTATTATCTGGAGCCCAGTGGTGAGTGTTTCTGGAGAGGAAAATGTAGCATGTGATGTGCTAACGTTTGTCGGTGGTAATTATCACATCAGCGTTACACAGACGGAACTTGTTTAGCAGATCAACAGGTCAACATTCTCTAACTCGTCACTGTTTAGAGTGGAGTCATACACAAGTCAGATTATTTGATTAAAATCATTTAAAAAAACATTATGCCCAGGAATTTGCCTCGGAGAAGGGACTGGAGTTTAACTGACGAGCCAGGATTGTTCTCACATGCATGTTTATTTCTCCAACAGAAAATAAAGGCTCTTCAAATATCAGTATCTTCCTTTATGTTAGCGTTCTGATGGTCCTCTTCTTTATTTTACTGGTATCGGTGGTTCTGGTTGTAATAAAGCTCAAGGCTTCGGGTAAGTTGCGTAACTTAGATCTTTGATGAGATATTAGGAGTAAGGGATACATCATCATTTGACGATGGAGCATACTAAGCACATATTAATATTTTAAAGAACGTAATCATTTAAATTCTTTTCATTGGAGTCCAATGTTGTGACAGACCGGTTGATGCTTAACAACAACGTCAACAACAAGATTCCATTTATATGCTTAAATGCATGAGGTTCACAAAATGACTCTTTTTGGGGTTTGACACACGCGGAAATCCATTTCCATGCTTAAGACTCTACAAATCAGATAGAGTTCCACATTTGTATGCCATCTACAACAACAATAACAACAACAACTCGGATTTATTTGGCGCCCTCCACGCCCTACGGCATCTCAGAGCGCTTCACAGAATATACCGTCAAGTTTGTGGGTGGAAACATTGGAGTTGGAAGAAGCCCTGACACCGCCCGACCCCCTCACCGCCCGAGAAAATGGCACACCCTGAAATATGACAAAAAAAGTCGTAAAAAGCCGCTGTATCAGTGTAAATCTGTACTGTATTGTTGTCTGTTTCAATCCATGAGGATCAGTAGGACAAAAGTACGTTTAACTCAGGCTCTCTCTGTTTCTATCTAAAGGTTCGGCAAACAAAAGGCAGGAGGTTCAACAGCAAGGAGAATACCTGGACGATGGATCATTACTTTACTCAAATGTCCAATATGTACAAGGTGACTTTTAGCCGACCACAGTCTATGTTCGTCAACGTAACAGCAGCACGATTTGTAGAAAATAGTCAGGGACCCATTTTAACATTTGAAAATATAACTTTATAATAGGATTTTTTTCTTCCCCTCCCAGCATCTAAAAGTGCAACAAATTCAAGCAACTTTGACGAATACGCAACTCTCAGTCAACGAGAACCCAAGCCATCAGGTATTAAGTGGCTTTATACTGTGTGTACCGACCAGGGACTGAGGAAGGGGAAACTTTGGTTGGAAAGAAGGAGGCGTCCTCACCTTATCACTTAGCTTCTTTGCTCCTGTGACATGTCTGAGATCAGGACATCCATTGTTGTCTTAGTGGTAGAGATGATGACCCAACTCATGATCAAATTCTTCAAAAAAAAATGAAAGCCAATCCTTTCATTTGAAGGTATATTGTTTCAGGAAGCTTTGTCAAAGGGTGGTGAAATACAAACTGTCAAGAGTAAATCAGTTTGGACTTAGAAGGAGCAGGGTTTGGCCATTTAGCCCCTTCAGCCTGTTCCACCATTCTATTAGATGGCTGATCTGGACCTCAACTCCAATTACTTGCCTTTGACCCACATCACTTGATACCCTGACCTAACATAAATATATCCACCTCAGTCTTGAAAATTTTAATGGACTTTAGTTGCATTTCAGTTGGCTTTAACCAAGTGGTTTGAAGAGAATGGAAATGTGCTGTGAGATGTTTCAAGAATTTTCAATAAAACAGGGTGTGAACTCGGTCCATGCCTCTACGGACTTGGACCAATATCCAGTTCATTTATTCAGCGAAATGACTAAGTCAGTGGTGGACCACCCTTTTGGTGAGCCAACAAAATAATCATAGAACTAACAAAATAGCAGAGTTACGCCATGAATCAAGAAATATTCAATCAAGAAACTATTTATTTTGTTGAAAATTTATTTTGTTGGCCAACCAAAGGGGTTGTACAACTCGTTCCTGATTGGAATGAAACAAAGGCCATTGGTGAAGTGAACCTTATCAAGAGAAGCTCAGCTCCTTGTGAATAATGTTTAGAAAAAAGCGATCCCTAAACCAAGCCAAATCATCTTGTAAGAGTGAAGCAGTTTGATCGTTTCAAACCACAGGGAAGTTTAAGCAGAAGTAGTGGAGGAAATGAAAACTGTCACTTACAGGAAATAGAGCCATGATTCGTTATTAACTCTGTAGACACCAAGATGTGAACTTGATGCTTTATGTTACTTTTTTGCAGCGAATGCTGAAACTCATAACCCAGCAGAAATGAAGAGTGAAGAGATCCACTATGCATCTGTCACCTTTCAAGTTAAATCAGGTGAACACTTGGGACTATTATGGGGTAAAACACTGCCATATAGTTTGCAGGCATAAACATTTACAACATATCAGAAAGGTGCCCATTCAGCCCATTGGAGCTGGTCAGGTAATGTCTGGCCCATCTCAATGTCTTGGTTGTCCAAGTCCATTTCTCTAGTAAGATGGGTTGCTTAAGTTCTCAGTCAGACACACCAGTGTGAACCTCTAATCAGGATGTTTGTACTTGTCACAGGTTCCAACAGCAAGAAGCGATTCAACAGTGAAGAGCCCAGTGCTGTAAGTATATCATTTTTAAAATGTATGAGTAACGTTTGCGGGTATTTGTTCTATTTTGTTCTGTTTAATATTGCTTTCTCAGCATTGAGAGGAGCAAACTAGTTAGTTGGAAGGATGCAACTGGGTATTTTTACTCAAATCATTCCTTAAATATGTTAAGGGATGTTTCAAGGAATACCGCAAATTTTACCCCAACATAGTCCAAGGAAATGTCAGTGTGGACTATTTTCCCCGAAATATTAATAAGTGGCAACAAGTCTTACTTGACATTGAAATGCAATGATATTTCACTCTTTAATGATTGATTCCTTTCCACCAGAACTTCGGTACTTCAGACGAGGAGCCTTGTGTTATTTATGCAAGTGTAACAAATGGAACTCAGGATTGACATGAGGCTGGAGAAAGGGTATCTGGAACATGGCAGCCACGGGAATTGAAATCATGAAGAAGGCCCTTTGGCCCATCTGGTGTTATCCCTCTAGAAAACCCTTCTGACCATCCTGTGTTTTTTTTCTAACTGAATCCGGAATCCTCATCTCAACCACCTCATCCACCCTTCCTGGCATCCTATTCTAGTCGATCGAGGGAAATTTTGGTGTCTGACCTGAAATTGCCCTTTGCAATTCTAAGCCCATGTCCTCTTGCTTTACTGTCCTGGTGTATCCTAAAATATTGTTCTGTATATTGTTTCTGTTTCAATCCCATTTAGAATACACCTCTATAAGGTCCCCTCTAATTCATCTTCTCTCAAGACTGAAGAGCCCGAGGTTGTCTCACCTTTGCTCAATACTCATTCCTCTAACACTGGGCATCGTCTTGTATGCTCTTCTACCTCTGAGATCTGAGGAGTCCAATCCTGTCGCAGCAACCAGAACTGTACCCATTACTCTTGGTTCAGCCTGACCAGAGCCAGAGTATGACTTCTGAAGATATATATTTTTTTGGTCAGTCGGATGTCTGACACATGCAGAAACCCATCACCATTGCTTACGAGTATCCAAACCAAACTGAAGATTCCACGCATCTCACCTACACATGGAAATTCCAGAGATAGATTGTTGGGAATGGAATACTCTCTCTCTCTCTCTCTTTCTCCCTGGACGGATGCATCCTGCTTACCTAATTCCGGGAAGTGTTAGGCGCAGGTTGACAAGAGCCAAGGCTTGGGGACCCCAGAGTATGGGTTGGTGTAACTGCTGGAGTCTAACCAGCTAAAACCGCTTTAGCTTGCTTGTTTAGCAATATAGCTCAGGAACCCGATTGCCTGAAATCTATCCATTACACAATAGTTCTATGACCAGAATAATTGCAGCACAGTTTCCAAGCACAAACACAACTTGCAAATGGCAAACATCATCATAGATAATTTCAGCTACTGCCGATATAACAAGCTTAGCCAAAACAAATCATAGGAAAGGGCCTGGGTGGGGGGGGGCGGACCGGGAGGGAAGCTCTAAATAATTCTACAAGCATTTTGATCCAAAGCCTTATCGTGTCGTTGTGACGTCTCAAAGAGCTTCACAACATTTAATGTAAGACATAGTGACTGTGCTTGTGGGTAAGACGACCTTCTGGTTGCTTTTATTGTTAGTCCAGTTGAGTTTGTTTACACACTCAAGAGGATTTGAGGTCAAGATTAAACCCAGTGTTTCCCCACAGAAACTTAAAGCCACCAGTGACACTGGTCACTTCACATACTCTCAAGTTGAAATGAATGCTATTTAATGTCATAAACCAATGGCTTTTTCTTGGCTTCAGTGAAATTAATCTCGAATCAAAGGAAAATGTTTTAAGTATTATTATTGATAGTGTTAACATTAGGTGATACTGCAACGCGGAGAAGTTGGTAACCTTTGTTTTGTCATTTCGTTCCTGTATGATTACGTCAATAAACAGTAGAGGGAAACCACAAAAGAACAGATTCTTTTGTTTCTTTGAAGCAACATGCAAAGAATTTGATGCAATATCACAGCTCGCAAAACATTTATCCAATAATAATAATAATCCTTGCATTTGATATAGCGCCTTATCACATCTTCGAGTTGTCTCCCAGGGCTTCTCAGAATATACTGTAAAGTGGATTGACTGCGTATTTTGTGGGCAAAGCACGGCAGCCAATTGCACACAGCAGTGTCCCACATACAGTCGTAGATTGAGCAACGAAATAATTTTAAATATATATTTTTGAAGGGACCCTCGGTAGGAGATCCACCTTCGACTAACCACCGGATTCCTACTTACTGCTAGGTAAACAGAAGCAAGTGGAGTAAGGAAACTTGCCTAAAGTTTCGCCCCACCCGGGAATCAAACCATGGTCCTCTCGCTTGCGAGGTGAGTGATCTAACCAATACACCCCAGGACTCCACAACTCTCAGGACCTTTCAGAGCTTGGGTTTGTTTATTATCGCTGGAGTTTAACCTACACCCTGTGAAGGGCACTTTATAAATGCAAGTAGTTGTTTTTGTATTCTCCTCCTCTGTCAAATTAAGAGGAAAGAAATGCAAAAAAAAACAGCAGGAGTTATTAATAAATACAACAAATGAAGCCTTTATTGTCATGTTTTGGTATTAACACTTGGGAGAACGAGAAGAATAGGAAGCTGGTAGGCCTTTGAGCCAGTTCCATTAGTATATTCGTTCTCAACAGATCTTTCAATCCCAATGCCCTGCCCTTTAATACCTCTCCTACTCGTTTATCTCTCCGTCTCTTTCAAACTTTGAATGATGATCCGTTCACGCACTTAAATCGCAATTGTGAGTACTAACTTGTCATCTGCAGCTGTTATAAATGAGTGCTTCGTATTTTTAGCTCATTTCACTTCCCATAAACTGAAACTGACTCAATAACCGCAAGCGAGAAACCTGGGTTTGATTCCCGGCAGGGCGACATGTTGGGCAAGTTTCCTTATTCCGCACGCCTCTGTTTACCTCGCAGTAAGTAGGAACCCAGCTGCTAGTTGATTGGCGGATCGCTTTTCCAGGGATAATAATCCCTCGAAAAAGAAAAATACTCATAATTTCGCCACTGAATCCACGACTATTGAAACGATTCACCCAACTTCCTAAAAGTTACAGCGGATCAGTCTCCCTATCTCATCGAGATGACTACTTTTAAATCACAGGAACTTGTCTATTTTTTCTTTAAACAACAAGAAAATAATCTTTTTGCAGCTAAGTTCCTGGTCCCGCCGTTGGCCGGTATTTTGGCTTTGATGAAGATCGCCATTTCCCTAGATACAATGTCTTGCAGTTCCTGTTCTGGTTAGTTTACATGACCTGCCAGTTCTTCAGAAAAAAGAAGTCCATCCCATTTTCTGATAACCCTGAATCCACTGACTTTTATAGGAACTTGTCAAGTTCTTTTTTGAAACCATTTAGAAGGTCGTTGTTAGAACATAAGAATTTGCTGGGCCAAAAGAGACCAAGGTCAATCAAGTTCTCCTTTCACCATCCTGGCAATCGCTTGCACATGTCGTGCCCCAAACCATGTATTGTATCCCTAGGTATTGTCCCACACCTCGTGGCTTCCTTCACATCCCTATCAACTTTTGGCAAATAAAATCTCTTTTGCTACCCTTATTTTAAAGCTATGATAATAATAATAATACTAATAATCATAATCCTTGCATTTGATATAGCATGTGCGCAATTGGCTGCTGCGTTTCACCCACAAAATACACAGTCACTACACTTTACAGTATATTCTGTGAAGCGCTTTGAGACATCTCAACGACGTGATAACGCACTATATCAAATGCAAGGATTATTATTATAATTATTATTATTATAATTCATTTTTGACCAGAGATATTAATATTCAGAGACAGAAGTCTAATTGTAAGCATTATGTTTATTTCATGCTGTTATTTTACCTTTGAACAAGCATATTTTTTTCCCCAACCCTGGATTAAAGCGTTTATTTTCTATCTTGCAAGATAGAAATCGATAAATGACAACATCTTCATTTTGGGGGAAAGAGCATCTTCTTGGTATAAACCTCATCCCTTTGATCGACATGGCTTCTCTGGGTTATTTTCACTTGATTACATTTGGTTAGGTTCCTGACAGCTCAAATTCCTCCGATGCTCTTGAACTCTGTGAGCGAACATGAGAAGCACAAATTAGGCACATTTCTTATACTAATAATCCTTGCATCTGATATAGCCCCTTCACACACCGTCGAGATGCCTCAAAGCGCTTCACAGGTTATTCTGTAACGTGCAGTGCCTATGTATTTTGCAGGAAATACAGCAGCCATTTGGCACACAGCAGTGCCCCACAAACAGCCATGGAGTGAGTGACTAAATTTATTTGGGGGATTGTTGGCCAAGAAACCCGGAGAGAGACACTCCCTTCTCTTTTTGAATAGCGCCGTGGGATCTTTAACGTCCTCCTGAACAGCTAGATGGGTTCACGGTGTCATGTCTCATCCGAAGGACGACACCTCCGACATTGCAACAACCCCCCCCCACCCCCACCCCAGCACTGCATTGGAGCGTCAGTTGAGACAGTGCGATTCCAAGTCCCGACGTGGGGGCTCGAACCCACAACCTTCTGCCTCAGAGGCACGTGTGCTACCGCTGAGCCGGACTGACACATGATACAGTCATAGAAACTACAGCACAGAAGGAGGCCATTCGGCCCACTGAGCCTCTGCCAGCACTCAACCACTGGAGCTTCACACCAGTATCCCAATACACTTATGTACGTACACATGTGACATACAGTTCATTTGCCTCTGAGTAAAAATTGGTTAACGTTTGGAAACTTGATTCATGAATAATCACCCTACCCAGTGGTTGACTCCAGTGCTATGTCGTTGAAGTGAAGTCCACTTTGATCTCCACGATCTGTGAAGAATTAGTTGAACGGCATTCATAATTCCGTAAAACATTTAAGAGATCAATAATAATTTAAGAGCTCAATGAATCTTTTCATCTGACACAGCGCCTTTCACGTCAGGAGGACTTCTCAAAGTGCCTCACGGATATTGCAAAGTGGAGTGACTGTGTATTTTGTAGGTGAACGCAGGAGCCAATTTGCGCACAGGAGCATCTTAATTATAAGAAATCCTATCGATAAACAGCGCAAAATAGATCCTAATATTTTGCAACTTCACCGGTATTTTGCAGCTGTCACGTTGACTGACAGATAAAGTCACTTCAACCCCTACCCTCCCTACCCTCTTCCCCTCCTGATTCCTACCCCCAGCTCGGGTCGAAATTTCCGATTGTCCCGACGTGAAAGGCGCTGTGTAAATGTAATTTGTTGGTGTCGCGTTTTTCAACAGCGCCACCCAACAGTATATTTAACAGTTACGTCCCTGTGCGCTTAACACAGTGGTGACATTAGTGAGAGGTTCACCTAAACCATATTTCTAAGCAAGAGCATGAATTTCACATGGTCTTATTCTAACTAACCAGAGCACTGTTCAAGACCGACTTAAACTTAGGCGAGTGGGTTTCTATCTGGCCCAGGGAGCTACAGAAATTTCCATTAATTCCCAATGGAAATGGGCTGGGGAGAAATTAAGGGGTTGCAGGCACTCATGTCTCTCACCTGATGTGTTGACCTTCTGCACGTAGCACATGATTGTCAATATGGTGCAGAAAATATGAACGAGACCCAAGGAAAGAAAAATTATACCGGGTGTGACATTTTCTGTCGGAAAAAAAATCAGAAGGCTTAATTGCAATCTCTTTAACTTTTTCCTACCTTGATCGTAACAGTACTAATCCATGCATTTGACATAGCGCCTTATCATGTCTCAAAGCGCTTCGCAGAATATTCTGTAAAGTGAATTGACTGTGCATTTTGTGGGCGAAACGCGGCAGCCAATTGCCCACAGCAGCGTCCCCGCAAACAGTCGTGGATTGAGTGACCAAAGTGTTATTGTATTTTTTTGACGGGATTATTAATCTGCCAATCGATCGACTCTTTAAATGTTAAACTTGATTTAAATGTTAAGCTTGCTAACTCTGCCTGTCGAGCGAAGCACCGTTTAGGAATATTGGGACAAAAGATAACGGTTGGGAAAATGTACCGATGGACACGACGCAGTTCAGGCTGGGACGCTGATAAAAGTCTTTCTCAACTCTCTCTAAGCTCTCTCTAAGCTTCCAAGAAAGGGAACCCTTACCTTCAATCTGAAAGCGATAACGGATAACAGCCAGAGGTATGGTTCCATTCAACAATACGCAGGCCCAATCCCTGTTGTATTCCCCGATGTTCTTGACCAGCAAGGACACACTGACATCTCCTTCACGTGACCCATTCAACAATTTCCCCTCCAATATATTATTTTNAACGCGGTCCATCCACACCGGCCTGGCTCCTCCAGTGACACCGGATACAGCACACGTCAGCTGTGCGCTCTCTCCCGCGGAGAGAGTGGGAGACGGATTCACCGTCACTGAAACAACAAATGAGATGATCGCTTCACAGAATATACCAATGTTGGGGGAATTATTATCCCCCAGGAAAGCAATCCGTCAATCGACCAACAACCGGGTTCCTACTTACCGCTATTATTATTAAATAATAGTAATAATAATAATCATAACGATAACAGGGGAATTCCTCCATCCTCTGCATTTCAATTCATACCTTTGATGGTTGCCAGCCTAACAGAGGACTCTGTGACACTGTTCACATCGCATGTGTAAAGTCCGGCGTCTCGAAAGTGTACAGGCGAAATCTGCAGAGTAAAGCTGGTGCTGTTATCACAGGTCACAAGGATCCGATCTTGAAACCCCGGAATGGGTGGCTTTGTTTGTCCTTCTTCGGGGCAGGACGCTATTTCCTCGTATCCATTTGGAGCGCTTTGCGGTGTCCAATGCCAGGTGGAAAAACGGCCCCTGGAGCTACTTTCACAGCCCAGGACCATTGCATGCTGATCAGTGACAGGCCAGTAATGTGTGCATCCCTCAACAGATCCATCTTGAGAAGAGAAACACAAGAGACATTGGGAACAAATGAATCAGAGTCAAGGTGGGAGGAACCGGCTGTCAATGTGGTCTTTAAGATTCTGAAGGGAATAGATAATGTAGACCGCGATGAGCTATTTTATCTTGTACTGAACAGTAGAACCAGAGGACACGGCCTACAACTGAAGGAGGTAAGTTCAGAACAAATCTGCGGGAACATTGCTTCAGTGAGAGGGCACTAAACTTATGGAACAGGCTCCCTAGGGAGACAAACGGTGGAAGCAGAAAATGCAATTTGTTTCAAGATCAAATTAAACAGAGCTTTCTGCTAGAAAATAATATCTCGGTATACAGTGTTTGGGGGCACGACATATCAAGCGACTGCCAGGCTGGTGGAAGGCAAACTGGATGGACCGTTGTCTTCTTTCACCAGCAAATTCTTATGTTCTTATGATATCGGTTGCTGCGGCCTGAATTATGTGACTTTTGATGTGATAGATACCATCTGGGCACAAAGTTCTGTGAAAGCGGAAGCGGTTATATTTCCTCACCTCTTCCTCCTCTGCCAAACCATGTTCAACAGCATTGTAGGAGCTGTAGCAAAAGCATGGACTAACATGATATACTTGAGTGTAGGCTGAAACACCGAATACAGTGCATTGCCGGAGATGCCGTCCTTCAGATGAGATGTTAAACCAAGGTCCCGTCTGCCTCTTTAGATGGACTTTAAAGATCTCGTGGCGCTATTCAAAAAGAACAGGGAATTTCTCTCTCCTGCTGTTCAGGCCAATGATCCCCCAGATAAAATTGGCTATTCTCTTCGTAGCTTTGCGGGACATTGCTGTGCGCAAAATTGGCTGCCGAGTTCACCCACAAAATACACAGTCACAGTAAAGTGCATTGAGGTTCCTCCTGGCATGAAAGATGCCCTATCAAATGTCAAGGACTGTTATTTTACGTATTATTATTATAATTGTCAGCAAAGTAAATTTGTACTTACTTAGCCTGATATATTGTTTGGTATCAGATGTGAGCACTATCTCTTCACCATCCTGCACTGCACATGTGTATTGATCACTGTCATTGGCTTTAATCATCAGATAGAGCATGTTGTTGATCTGGAGCTGATCAGTGTCGTTGCTGCTGCTGTTCTGTGCAGATTCTCTGTGTTTCCACTGAAGCCTGACACCATCTGGGAGTCTGGAGATGCTACAGCTGAGGGTGACCTCAGCGTCCATTGATTGACACCTCTCCTTTTGGTCAACTGCAAGGACATTGAAAGATTGAGCCAAACAGTGCACACATAAGCCAACAGAAAGATAAACACTGTCAAAAGATAAACCCTTCAATATTTATCTCGTCAGCAATTGGATTAACTTTCATTACAACAACAACAACAACTTGTACTTATATGGGGCCCTTCAAGCAAGGTAGTGTCCCGGACCGCTTCACAGTGGCAGAGTCTGACAGCGAGCCGGGGGGCGGGGGGGGGAGAGAGGGGGATGGTGACCGGAAACACGATCAAGTGATTATTACAGTCGTTACATCTTACAGTAGATCCCGTGAAGCGCTTCGAGGCATCTTACTGACACGAGAGATGCTATGGCAAATGAATTCCGCTACCCCAACTATGAATCGGTGCGTTATCTCACCATGAAGGCTGAAGGCAGCAACTGTCTCGGTCTCAAACCTTGTCAGGCTCCAGCACGCTGAGGAGCTCTGAGACGCTGCCCCTTGTGAAGGGGCTATATAGTACAAGTGCAAGTCTTTGTTGTTCCAGCTCACCTTTGACGGTAAATACTTGGTATTGACTCAGTGTTCTGTTCTGAGGCTCCGTCTGTCTGCAGGTAAATAATCCCGAGGTCTCAAATTCGGGATTTTCCATGGTCAGACCCAGCGACTTATTTATCTGACGCCATTCCTTTGCCGTATCCTCCTGTAACCATTTTACTCTCCAGTGATTTTGATGTGCTGTCATTTCAGCCAACGCTTTGGTGATGTTTTGCCCCCAGTCTTGGGTCCATTCCCAGACAACGGTGCCTTCTGGGGCAATATCTGATCCATTGAGGACAATTTGGTCTCTACCCACCAAGACATAAACGGCAACAGGGGTTTCTGTAAGAACAAAAACATCTCAGAGGAATTTCTTTCCTCCACTCATCTAATTTAGTTTTATAATTACACTGACACTTAACCCAAGACTGATGGTATCTAGGAGTGTGGAGATGCTACAGATGAGGGTGACATCAGTGTCCATCGATTGACATCGAGCACCAATAATCCAAGCCAAGCACTCTGGGACGCTCCTTGTATGAGAGGCGCTATGTAAATGCAAGTTACTGTTGTTGCATTTAATACAGCGCCTTTCATATCGGGAGGACGTCTCAAAGAGCTCAGCAGAATACACTGTGAAGTCCACGAGTGTTTGTGGGGAAAGAATCCACGACTGTTTGTGGGACACTGCTGTGCATAATTGGCTGCCACATTTCGCCCACAAAAATATAGAGCCAGTTCACTTTACAGTATATTCTGCAAAGCTCTTTGAGACGTCTCAACGACGTGATAAGGCGCTGTATCAAATGCAAGGATTATTATTATCATTATTAAGTTCAGTCACTGCGTGCGATCTGTAACATCCACCAAAGCAAGCGAGACTAATGGTTACTTCCTGTGGGCAGAAAGTGTGCAGTTTGAAAGAAATTGCTACTGCCCAAAGCAGAGGTCGATTCCCCGCGAGCGCTCAAACGACTGAGCTACAGAGTAAATTATTATTATTTATCATTATTAACAAACATCTATCCAACTCGGTGTTGAAAATTTGAGGGAGGGAGAAGAGTTCTCGATTTCCACTACCCTTTGCGCAAAAAATGCTTCCTGATTTCACTGCAAAACGGCCTAGCTCTAATTTTAAGATTCTGCCCATAGAATCATAGAACCGTACAGCACAGACGGAGGCCATTCGGCCCATCGTACCTTTCAAAGAGTCTCTCCACGTGTCTGTCACCAGAGAAATGGCTTGGGGGAGGTTTGCAATACTTTGGAGCTTTGCTGATGATTGACCAATGCATTGATCAAGCCCCAGGTCAGCTGGAAGAGCATCATATAACACATTGAAGAGTTGCACCATTGCAATGATATCATTCCCTTACCTTTCGTGAAGGTGCACGTAAGTAGAAGTAGTAAGACACGACTCACTAAAGTTCTCATCATCGTCTCCCCTTCTGTCCGTCTGTCGGTCGGTCTGTGTCTGCCTGACTGGCAGCTTCTTGCTGCCTTGGACTGAAGCAATCACTTTTGAACTGAACACTTCCTGGTAGTAAAACCACATCAACTATCTAGAAATCGCACTTCCCCCCCGTGCTCACTTCAGAAAAGACCTGAAAGATACAGATTTGAATGAACTGCTCTGGTGCCTTGTGTCTCTGTTGCAGTTGCTAAAAGATGAGATCTTCTCGACTGGATTAGCTGCGTGGATTCCCTGCCACACACTCTATCGTGATTTGATGATGAACAACAACAACAACATCTTGGATTTATGCAGCGCCCTTCATCCCGGACACAGCATACTCTCAGAGCGCTTAACCGTAGGGGAGCCTGACCCTGAGCCGGGGGGAGAGAGGAGGTGACCAATAGCATGGTCTAACCAATAGTTATGATCTAAAAGAGGGGAAGGAAGGGCACAAGGCAGAGGGATTGGGGGTGAGAGCTTCGAGGTTTAGTGGCTGAAAGTGCAGCCGCCGATGGTGGGGCAGAGAGGATAAGGGAACTAAAGGTCACAAACCTAATTTCCTCCAGCGATTTGCTCATCGTTCGCCCACAAAATACACCGCCGCTGCACTTTACATTGTGTCAACGACGTGATAAGGTGCTCTAACAAATGCAAGGATTATTGTTGTTATTGTTAATTCAATTTCAGTTTCTCCTTTTACCGGTTTAATGGTTCTTCCCTTCGCCCTGTCTGAGTAAACAGCGTATTTTCTTCGTCTCTCACGTATCTTTTCTGTGCCACTTTTAGCCAAGTTTTTCTTGAACGTTCAAAGCAATAAATTGCAAACCCGAGGACCTTTTTTTTCGGAATCCATCGGCAACACAAAAAAAAACTGTTGATAGATTTATGGACGTTTTATGTCCCGCACTCCCATTAGAAGCTACCCGCGAACCCGCTGTTCGGGAACAATAGAGGATAGAGAGAGGGCCGAGCTGAACAGCTGTACTCACTCTGATGATATGAATTTGGCGAGTAGGTTTTTTTTCCTAGCTTTCCTTTTGATTTTGCAGGTTAACGGAGACCCAGGGTGAGAAACAAGAAAAAATTGGCCAAGGTTTCCCCCCTTGGCCGGGAATCAAACCCAGGTCCTCTCACTTGCCAGGCGAGTGCTCTAACCACTGAGCCAGGAATTGAAACCCTTCCGTTGCAATTGAAGCAACCCTCAGTCGGGATCCCAAAACCGAGCGCACACCCTTTTGCGACTGAGCCTGAGAACCATTGCGCTCGATGCAGTTTCAACCGTTCGGCGATTGAACTCGCTTGAGATGAAATTATGGCAGCGCTCAATTTTCGGCTGATCCACTCCTCTTGTCGATGGATGTTACCCGCTCAGTACGGCAGAGGGCGACATTGTACAAAGCCAAGTGACAGTGTCTCAATGAGCTCCAGGTGAAGAGAAGACCCAAATTTGATGCTTATGGTTTGCAGGAACACAGAGAGATTGATTGGAGCAGTGGGACTGGGTAGGTACCCCGATGGGTGTGTCGGAGTTTGCTCGGGAGGGTTAGCAGAGTGGGTCGAAACTGCTACCCGCTTCAGAGCAGTGACACCCACAACAGCAACTTGCATTTGTAGAGTGTCTTCAAGCCAGGTATCATCCTGAGGCGCTTAAACGGAATGGCTTTTCTCCCGTGTTGCAAAATTCCCTCACCCTAGTGCAGTGGTGGCCAACCCTTGGGCCGGAAGTGGCCCTCGTTGCCGTCAAGAAGTGTCCGGTCGAACAATCGCACTAGTCCGGGTGAGTCTGTGCTCGGGGGAAGAAAAAAAACCTTAGTTTTAATTTGAGGTAAAAACGATCAGCTAAAATCAACGAAACGGAAAGGTGGACAAGCATAAAGATGATCAGGTTCCTGATTACGGAGCCACTATGTCACAGCTTTGGAGCTGGTACATTCAGTGGCCACAGCATCCCGAGGAAACAAGGAAAAAATTAGACCAGATTCTGCAATAATGACTGGTGGAGTGAATTAGTAGGAAAGGTATTGAAGGGCAAGTTAGTTCCTGCAGCACACTGGTTAGCACACTCGCCTCGCAAGCGAGAGGAACTGGGTTTAATTTCTGGGTAGGGCGAAACATTGGGCAAGTTTCCTTCCTCCACACGACTGGCAGATCACTTTCTGGGGGTAATAATCCCTCAAAGTAAAAATGTGGTCACTCAATCCACGACTGTTTGTGGGACGCCGCCTGGTAGAATTAGCTGCTATGTTTTGCTGACAAAATACACAGTCAATCCACTTTACACTATCAAGCACGCTGGGATGCTACCCTGCATGAGGGGTGCTATCTAAATGCAAGTTGTTGTGGGTGAGGATACCTAAACGTGTTCTCACATGCACCCTTTACAGCGAAGGTCAATGAGTAGGGTTCAGAGCTCAGAGTTCTGGCTGGTACCAAACCTCTCTAAAAGCTGCTGTGGATAAGACGTTGGAATGTAGCACAGATGCCTCAAATGCCTGGACTGGTTTTCGAATACTCCGCATTTGTGCCTGCACAACGTTCCCCGTGGCACGCTGAATCTTGTGCAGAATTTGGCAATAGAACCATTTGTTACTTACCTGAGGAAAGCCTGAACGCTAAGCATCATTTGTCAAGGTTTGGTCCTGTTAACCCATGCGTATCAGTCTTTGCGTCAGAAGGTTCACACGTTACTTTTTTTTTAACAGTTCTATGGCCTGATGTCTGTTGCAGAAACCCATCACTGTGGTTTATGGGGCCAGCCTGCTCCTTCACAGACAGTTTAGGTACAATTTACCACTGCGCTGTGATTTCAGGGGGTTTGAAGCCCCAACCTTGTGACTCAGACCCGTGAAAAGGTTAAAAAAAAGTATAGTGTGACACTCTGAGAGGCAGATTGGGCTTCATTGGGGTCATTGGTGACGGCGTTGATGAAAATGGAGCATCTCCAGATCTTGTACTCCCTCTTTTCGCTCAAAAAGGATACAGTCAATTCGCTTTACACTGTACTCTGTGAAGCGCGTTGAGAGACGTCGCGACGACGTGATAAGGCGCTGTATCAAATGCGTGGATTATTATTATCATTACAGCACTCGGCCAAGTTCAGAGGGAAGCTCCCTCAATTCCATTCCCAAAACAGTGTTGCCTTTTCCACAGTCCGCCTTGACCTCCCACACTAACAAGCCTCACAGTCTGCTCGCTGCTGCCAAACTCAGTGACTGACTGTGCTGATCTGTGACTTCCTTCGGGATGGCCGACTGCATCGAAATTGTCCGTACTCAACTGAGGGGAAAGAACAGCATGATACTAATCCGAGGATCAATCATCTTGTACAATGTTATCCTTTGGAATTTCAATATAATTCCAATCAGATTTCATTCAAAGGGACATCAATATTCTTTTCTACAAGGCACGTTCAACATACATCAATGCGATTCTAATCTGTGTGCTTCCGGGAGCTTGGACACGCCTTCAAAGTAGCTCAGTAAAACATCTTGCAAGCGAGAGGACCCGGGTTCAATTCCCGGGCCAGGCGAAACCTTAGGCAAGTTTCCTTACTCCACACGCCTCTGTTTACCTAACAGTAAGTAGGAACATGGTTGTTAGTCGATGGCAGATCGCTTTCTGGGGAATATAATCCTTCAAAAATAAACAATGTAGTCACTCCACCCACGAGTGTTTGTGGAACGCTGCTGTACGCAATTGGCTACCGCATTTCGCCCACAAAATAATGCACATTCAATCCAATTGACAGTGTATCCCATGAAGCGCTTTGAGATTAACGACACGAAAAGGCGCTGTATAAATGCAACCATTATTATTATCCAAACGCAAAATCCTGCAGATGCTGGAAATCTGAACAATCAAGATTTCCAATCTGACGAAGGGTCGTGGACCCGAAACGTTGACTCACTTTCCTTTCTCCATAGATGTCGCCTGACCCGCTGAGCGCTCCCAGTTTTTGTTTATTATTATTATTATTATTATTATCATTATTACTATTATTATTATCATTATCAGCGAGTTCAAAGACAATGTGTGTGTGTGTATGTGTGTGAGTCTTGAAAGTTTCTGACTCAGGGGCAAAAAAGACTGAGTCAGGGGCTGATGACTCAAAATGATTAGTAAAAGAATAAGGAAGTTGAGATAAGGAAATAGTACATTCTAATTCAGCAAATCCCAGTTTAACATGTGCACGAAGTCTGGGTCAGGTTTTAAATAGACTGTAAGTGGATAGTACCGTAAGCAACCAAATAAAAATGACCACTTTCATTCCAACACCCCTTGAACAAGACACTCTGGAGCTGAGAGCAAACCTGAGGGGGCAGCATGTTACACAAGAGAGAGCTCCCCAAATAATAATTATGTTCATTTATTTGTTTTTTGCAATATTAACTCAGAAAAGTTAATTCATGGTTAAGATTCAAGGATTTCTTTGGCTGTGTGTGTGTGTGTGTGTGTGTGTGGTGGGGGAGAGTGGTGGGTGGGGGGTGGTTCCTCTAGTTTTTGGTGGGGAGGAGAATGAAAATGATTATTTTAAGAGAAGAGAAGAAAAATGAATCACATTTCATGTTTGATTGCATTATATATGCAATTATGCATTATATATCTTTTATCTCCCTCCCTCCCTTCCTTCTTGCAGGAAATAGTTTGGAGTGAGTTTTTTTTCCTTGTGAATGAAGTCAAAAGATAATTGAGGGTTGAGGTCCAATGCTTGATTTGGGGGATGGGGTGGGGGGAGAGAGAGAGAGAGATGGAGAGAGAATAAAATTGCAAAGGAAACCAAGTGCACAGTTTTAATGTGAAGGGCATTGTAAATCAGAACCCACTTATAGTCCATTAATTATAAGTTATGTTATGCATTATGTATATATATATAAAACACACTGCTTACACCTGGCTGACTGGGTGGTTAGTTTTAGAGCAAAGAGAGAGGGGGTGGTTAGATACCCAGCCAGCTAGGATTTGGCTTGCAATTTGAATTTCTCCTCTTAGGTGAAATGTGAGATTTGGGAGGTAATCACTACGTGGCAGTCGAGGGAGAGATTTGCTCATAGAAGCTGGATTCCCAGGGAAAGGGACTGGGCAGAGAAAAGCACAAGAGGAGAGAGACACACACACAGAGAGAGAGAGAGAGAGAGGAGAGGAGGAGTGATCTGTTCACAAGCTGTTTTGCTGGAGGTGAGATAGAGAGAGACACACACATACACAGAGATGTCTAGTGCTGTGATTTGTTGGGGGGGGGGGGATTGGTTGGGGGGTTAGACATGGGTTGCAGATTGTCTTTTGGGCTGTTGTTTGGGTAGGAAACATGAGAGACAGAGAAAGCAATGGCATTCTTGGCTCCTGATTGCTGAGAGCTTGGCTCTGGGCTGCTCAGAGTGTAAGGAAATCAGGTTAAAAATACCAGCCAGGAGTGAGATTTTCTCCCCCCCTGGGGGTGTGTGTGGTGCTTGTAAGAGGAAAAATCTGCATTTTATTTTATTTCTCTCCTTTTCTTAGATATCCAACAATGTAATTGAAGCTGGGAGGTCTTTTTGAAGCCAGGCTTCAGCATTCATGTTGGTGTCTTGTTATGTAACACTGCAGTGCAACAGTGTATTGGGGTCTCCCCTTTGATCAGCCGCATTGTGGATGAAATTTATATATTATTGACTTGTGTTTTGTCCATCTCTGTGTGTCTGAGGAGGAGGAGGAGGAGAGGGGAGATTTAAGCTGTAAATTCGATAATTTAGCAAACCAATTCCCCCTCGGCTTGTGTCTTAGACTTGTTATTCACATCAACATGCAATTGAAACAGTAACCTGTCCAAGACTTTCTAATAATAATAATAATAATAATGATCCTTGTGTTTGATATCGCGTCGTTGAGACGTCTCGAAGCTGCGCGGAAATATACTGCAAAGGGCAGCAGTGTCCCGCGGTGGTGGGGGGTGGGGTGGGGTGGGGGGGGAAAGAAGCGTGTTTAACCGTTTGGTTTAATGTTTTAATGTTTAGATTAATTGCTGAATGGTGAAATCGACAGCAAGTCCTCAAAGGCTTATGGTTCAGATTGCTGTGTGCGTGTGTTTAACTGGAGGGATGATCTGAAACATTTCACACACAAAATGCGCAGTCGTTTCACTTTACAGTGCATCCTGTTAAAACGCTTCGAGTCCTAGCGACGACGTGATAAGGGGATGTATCGAACGCAAGGTGTACTGTTATCTGCTTGTTAGCGCTACACAATGTGCCACCCTCTGCTGTCACGTAGCCCACCGTTACTTGGGTGGGCGTTGTTTTTGGAGTGGAATACATGTAACCGACTTTGCAGAGATGCAAGCTTCTTACACGCATGTTGCCGGTCCGTCTCCAACCAGATGAACTTCTCCGCGCGCGAGAGAGAGAGAGAGAGAGAGAGTACCTCTGCTCGCTACAGATCCTGACCAGAGGCGCCGAGCTCCTGGGAGCAAATCAAAAGCACGTCCGCAACGATTACAGGCTCTTTTACCAGCTGAGTGCTGTGGTTCTGGTAGAGTAGAGTTTTAATAACAATAATATGTAATTATCCTTGCCTTTGATGCAGCGCCTTATCACGCTATTGAGACGTCTCAAAGCGCTTCACAGAATATACCGTAAAGTGAATTGACTGTGTATTTTGTGGACCAAGCGCGGCAGCCAATTGCGCGCAGCGGCGTCCCTTAAACTCGCGGATTGAGTGATCAAATTATTATTTATTATTTCGAAGGATTATTACCCCCGGAAAAGCGATCTGCCAATCGACTAATAACCGGGGGCGTTACTTACTGGCGTGTGAGGTGTGTGCGTGGAGTGAGGAAACTTGCCTATGATTTTGCTCCGCCTGGGAATCGAACTCGGGTGCTCTCGCTCGCGAGGCGAGTGCTCTAACCACTGAGCTACAGGACTACACCCAAAATAATGACCACCCCATCCCACCCCACCCCAGAAGCTGTGGTTGGAGCAATTTTTTTTGGGTTGGGGGGGGGCGGGGTCAGCCGGTTGTCTGACTCACGTCTGACCCATCACCGTTGCTTGAGAGCGTCCAAATCACACTGAGAATTCCATGCATCCCACCTACACATGGAAATTCCAGAGATATTTGTTGGAATGGAATGCGCTCTCTCTCACCCTGGAGGGATGCGTTCTGCTTAACTAATTCCGGACAGTATTAGGCGCAGGTTGGCAAGCGGCCGAGGCTCGAGGGGGAGCCCAGAGCGTACGTTGGGTGTAACTGCTTCTTATTTTGTGCTTTCTCTGAGTTTTGTGTTCGGAGACGGCTGCAAAACTCGCGCTCGTTGGGTCGATTGGCAGCATTCCGGGCACGCGTCTTCCAGTAAATAATAATAGAAAATAATCCTTGACATTTCACGTGGGGAGGACGTCTCGAAGTGAGTCCCAGGATTTGACCGTAAATCAATCCATGAGTCTCCAAGCCAAACCTCCTGTTAGATTCCATCTGGTTAGACTCCAGATCCCTCCCCGCCCCCCCCCCCCCCCTCCACACCGCAACATTTTATATCGTGAGGACATCTCAGCACCTTGGGATGTCCTCCTGACGTGAACGCCGCTGTACAAGTGTAATTTGTTGTTCTTATTCTAAGTGTAAAACAAGAACAAGAACTTGTCTCGCAACTCCTGGCACAGAGTAGCGTCCCAGCGCGCTTGCAGTGTAGTGTTTATGTAGGCGAACGCCGCAACCATTTTTTTGCGCAATGCGGTGACCGTCGTTCTCGGCGACGTCCCCGCGAACAGGCAGGAAGTGGGCGACTGGTTTTCCTCTGCCGTGAAAGGGTTAATCTTTATCGGACAAAATTCAGCCACTGCGCCTGAAACTCTCTCCCTCAGTCCATGGGCCTTGCCCCCTCCTTCCCCATCTTCAGGTCGTGCCTGAAGAACTTTCTTTTCGGCCTTTCTCCTCACCTGTCTCCACCCCCACACCCCCCCCGCCCACACCCCCCGGCTCCCTGACTCAGCGTCATGCTCCACCACAGTCAAGCACTCTGAGACACTGCCCTGCGAGTTGTTACAGGGAAATAATCCTTTGCCATCTTGCCTGAAAAGGCCCGCGCTAGACTTGGCACAGATTTGGACGGCTCAGGCTCAGGCTCGCACTAATCCCATCTGTCCCGAGTTGGATGTGAACGCAATCCCTTGAAGAGGGTGAGTCATGAGTAAAGGCTTCCAGGCTTGCATTGCGTGTCGGCGAGTCACAAGAATCCGAGCATTCTCTCCGATTGCGCTTCCTGGGTTCTTAAATGAATGTCTGTTTCCCTGAGGTCACAACCCCAGGATTCCCGTTTTACAGCTCACATATCTTGTTCAGTCTAAGATGCAGAAGGAAGTGGGATGGGCTGAGGAGAAAACTAGACAGCCCTATAAAATTCGATTCCCAACCGTCTCTAGACCCGCTTCTTCGATTGAGCCTTCGGTCACCCTCCTACCCTTAACCCACCCTCCACCCCTCCTGATCCCAAACCCCAGCTCGGGTTCAAATCCCTGACTGTCCAGCGCCTTCGGACGTCCTCCCGATGTGAAAGGCGCTGTACAATTGTAATTTGTTGTTGTTGGTATGTGTTCGCTGTTAACAATGCGTCTGATAAAGGGTTTAAGCCAGACTCAAACTCCTGAGTTTGCCAAGTTCCTGCGGTGAGAAAAGTTCTCCTTGAGACACTGAAACCACAAATAGTTTTGCCTTGTGCAGTACACATCTGTTGTTTTTTTAGTGAGGCTGATGTAATGTTCAGCAATAATAATGTCAAATGCAAGGATTATTAGCATTATAAGTAACCTCAGGCTGTTCTTGGATACTTCTTTTTCTAGTCTTCGAGAAATCCAAACGTATCTGTAATCAGTTCCCAGTTGCAAAAGCTAAACAACGACAAAAAGCTTCCTCCTCAAAGCAAAAGGGAGTCGGTCTGTGGTTGTGCATGGTTCGTGTAGAATAACGATTCAAAGAGCAGCAGGGAGGGTGGAGGACAGGATTCGGACGTGCGGGCTAATTGCCCGTCAATCCAGGAGAACATAGGCCTGGTTGAAGAGGTAGTCTTTTGGGAGGTGGGGGCTGGTGGGTGCGCGATGGACGGAGGGAGTTCCAGAGGTTAGAGACGTAAAGTGGCAAAGCATTGATGGTGCCACATGTGCGGTAGAGCTTAAGTTAGCTGAGGGTGGACAGCGAGGAGAGGGGAAAAGTGGGAGTGGGGTAGAATATAATAATAATATAATAATAATCCTTGCATTTGATATAGTGCCTTATCGTGTGGTTGAGATTTCGTAAAGCGCTTCACAGAATCTACTGTAAAGTTGATTGACTGTATATTTTGCGAACGAAACACCTAACAGCCAGGTTCCTACTTACTGCTGGGCAAACAGAGGCGTGCGGTGCAGAGGAAACTTGCCTAAGGCTTTGCCCCGCCTGGAAATCGAACCCGGGTCCGAGGTGAGCGCTCTCATCACTTCGCTACAGGACTGCACTGTAGAAAGAGCAAGCTTAGGTAAGAACATGTGCGTAGCAAGCAAAAAAAAAAACCAGCGGGGTTCCCTGTAATTTAGAACACGTTGAGGGTTGACGTGTAACGACATTGTATGTGTGGATTGAACTGATGAGCTAATAGAGGCAGCCTGCGAGTGTTGGAACAGGTTTGCAGAGCCAAGTCTACTGAGCTGCCATTACACAGTGTGAGATTCCCAGGAAAGGTGAACGCAATCAGCGATTCAGATCAAGTGTTGTCGACAAGTTGTCCTGTGTTAAGTATGGCATTTGTCGAACACCGTTCAACCTCGCCTGTATTAATAATAATAATCCTTCCATTTGATATAGTGCCTTATCACGTCGTTGAGATGATTCAAAGCGCTTCACCGAATATATACTGTAAAATGGATTGCTTGTGTATTTTGTGGGCGGAACGCCTTAATGTACCAACAACAACCACTTTAATTTATATAGCGCCCTTCACACGGGTTGGCATCTCAGAACGCTTTAACTGTTTCGACAATATTTTACCAATGAAACACTTCAGATCATGTCAACCCTCCCCTCCCTCCCTCATCAAAACAACCACAACAACAAATTACATTTGTGTAGCGCCTTTCACGTTGGGGGATGCGCCAAGCCGCTGGGCAGTCAGAGATTTGGACCCAAGCTGGGGGTTGGGAGGGCAGGGAGGGTTGGGGTAGAAGGGTGAC